TCACAGAGGTCAGATGTTTCTTGTAGTTGGCCACCAGGTTTGCACACATCTCAGGAGGGATATTGTTCCACTCCTCTTTGCAGATCTTCTCCAAGTCATTAAGGTTACGAGGCTGACGTTTGGCAACTCAAACCTTCAGCTCCCTCCACAGATCTTCTATGGGATTAAGGCCTGGAGACTGGCTAGGCCACTCCAGGACCTTACTGTGCTTCTTCTTGAGCCACTCCTTTGTTGCCTTGGCCATGTGTTTTGGGTCATTGTCATGCTGTTCTCACCCAAGATTTGACGGTACATGGCCCCGTCCATCGTCCCTTTGATGCAGTGAAGTTGTCCTGTCCCCTTAGAAGAAAAACACCCCCAAAGCATAATGTTTCCACCTCCATGTTTGACGGTGGGGATGGTGTTCTTGGGGTCATAGGCAGCATTACTCCTCCTCCAAACACGGCGAGTTGAGTTGATGCCAAAGAGCTCAATTTTGGTCTCATCTGACCACAACACTTTCACCCAGTTCTCCTCTGAATCATTCAGATGTTCATTGGCCAACTTCAGACGGCCCTGTATATGAGCAGGGGGACCTTGCGGGCGCTGCAGGATTTCAGTCCTTCACGGCGTAGTGTGTTATCAATTGTTTTCTTGGTGACTATGGTCCCAGCTGCCTTGAGATCATTGAGAAGATCCTCCCGTGTAGTTCTGGGCTGATTCCTCACCGTTCTCATGTTCATTGCAACTCCACGAGGTGAGATCTTGCATGGAATACTCAAATACTTATTTCCCTCATTAAAATGCAAATCAATTTATAACATTTTTGACATGCGTTTTTCTGGATTTTTTTGTTGTTATTCTGTCTCTCACTGTTCAAATAAACCTACCATTAAGATTATAGACTGATCATTTCTTTGTCAGTGGGCAAACGTACAAAATCAGCAGGGGATCAAATACTTTTTTCCCTCCCTGTGTGTGTGTGTGTGTGTGTGTGTGTGTGTATATATATATATACACTGTAAGAATAACTTTTGTATGACTGAAGCTTTTAGTTATAGGTCTAATGCTTCAATATTTAATCATTTCTGTCCTCCGAATTCATGTTCATTATATAAATAGGCCCGTTTAATTTTGTCTGGCTTGCTGTTCCAAATAAAATGGAATATTTTTTTCTCATATAATTTAAGAAACTGTTCGCTTGGCGTATGCAAGACCATAGGCAAATAGGTAAACTGGGATAATACTAAAGAGTTAATCAGGGTGATTTAACCACAAATAGACAGGTATTTACCGTTCCATGGTAGCAAGATCTTATCTATTTTTGCTAACTTTCTATTAGAATTTATTGGAGTGAGATCATTTATTTCATTTGGGATATGTATTCCGAGCATATCCACATCACCATCAGACCATTTTATTGGTAAACTACATGGTAATGTAAAAACTGTATTTTTTGTTATCCAATACTAATATAGTACATTTATCATAATTTGGTTGTAATCCAGAGAGGTTAGAAAATGTGTATATATATCCTCTGAGGCTGTGGAGGGATTAAAGTTGTGGATTTAAAATAAAACATCAGCGTACAATTACACCTTTGTTTTTAAGCCCTGGATTTCTAATCCCTTGATTTTATTGCTGGATCTGATTTTAATATCTAACATTTCGATGGCCATAATAAATAGATATACCAATACTGCCCGCTCCGTTGTGTCCTCCTCCCAGAGTGCAAAGAACCTTGGCGTGACCCTGGACAACACCCTGTTGTTCTCCGCTAACATCAAAGCGGTGACCCGATCCTGTAGGTTCATGCTCTACAACATTCGCAGAGTATGACCCTACCTTACACAGGAAGCGGCACAGGTCCTAATCCAGGCACTTGTCATCTCCCGTCTGGATTACTGCAACTCACTGTTGGCTGGGCTCCCTGCCTGTGCCATTAAACCCCTACAACTCATCCAGAACGCTGCAGCCCGTCTGGTGTTCAACCTTCCCAAGTTCTCTCACGTCACCCCGCTCCTCCGCACGCTCCACTGGCTTCCAGTTGAAGCCCCCATCTGCTACAAGACCATGGTGCTTGCCTACGGAGCTGTGAGGGGAACGGCACCTCCGTACCTTCAGGCTCTGATCAGTCTTTACACCCAAACGAGGGCATTGCGTTCATCCACCTCTGGCCTGCTGGCCCCTCTACCTCTGCGGAAGCACAGTTCCCGCTCAGCCCAGTCAAAACTGTTCGCTGCTCTGGCACCCCAATGGTGTTTTATTATTACAATCCCTACCATGGCTAGTATTGGGTGTTCCATTATTCGACTCCTCTATTAGAACTTTCAGAATAGCCATGGAGTATTATTTGTGTCGCGGAACATTTGGTTGTCAATATACAGTTTATCAACTACGAGAGCAACACGCTTCCCTTTTAATTTATATTCCTTGAAGATTGGGTACAGAACTTTGTGCCGTTCTGCAATCTCCCTCGGGAACTGATCATTCATGCCTATTTTCGTGCCAGCAAGTATTTTAGCTAGGCTTTTAACCATTACTTTATCCTTAAAGAAAGCAAATTTGGCAATGATTGGACGCTCATATCTCTGTCCTCTTTGTCTGAAACGGTGTACATGTTGGAGTTGGATTTTATCGACAGCATCGAGTGGGATTTGAAGCGCTGTAAGACAAAAGTCCTTCACAATTTTTTCGGTAACCTCTCCTTCTTTTTCTTGGATACCGTAGGTACTAGATTTCCTCTCATATATCTAGTCTGTATGTCTAGTAAGGCTTCTCTCAGAAAGCTGTTCTCCCTTTTAAGTTCCTTAACATCCGTTTCTATCTTAGTGACTGTCCCTTTTAGCGTTTTTGTATCTTTCTCCATTATCACAGCTTTTTCGTCACTCATTTCAAGACTCGCCTTCAACTCTTTTAAATCCTTACTGACCAACTCTAGTATGCCATTTATCGACTTCAACAGATCACTTTCCACACTTACCAGTCCCAGTGGTGAAAAGCATAAATCATCTGTATCCGTCGAGGAGTTGCGTTTTCTCTTGTTTCTATTTACGTCATTTAGCTGACGCTCTTATCCAGAGCGACTTGCAGTTAGTGCATACATTATTATTTTCATACTGGCCCCCCGTGGGAAACGAACCCACAACCCTGGCGTTGCTAACGCCATGCTCTATCAACTGAGCTACCTCCCTGCCTGCCATTCCCTCCCCTACCCTGGACAACGCTGGGCCAATTGTGCGCCACCCCATTGGTCTCCCGGTTGCAGCCGGCTACAGCAGAGCCTGGATTTATTTAATGGATTTATTGTGAAGGTGTAGGCTATTTTACATGGATTTATTAGACTTGTAGATGTAGATGTTCCAAAGGTCTGCATTAGTGGCTTGTAGGCTATGCATGGAAGCCAGGAGATGCAACATTTAATGACCGCCACAGCCCTACTCCCTGACCAAGGTCGTTCTTGCCCAGTTGCTCAGTTTGGTCGGATGGCCAGCTCTAGGCCGAGTCTAGGTAGTTCCATATTTTTTCAATTTCCCAATTATGAAGACCACTGTGTTCTTGGAAACTTTCAACACTCTATAAATTGTTTTATACCCTTCCCCAGATATATGCCTCATTACAATTCTATCTTGGAGATCTACGGACAGTTCCGTGGACTTCATGGTATAGTTTCTGCTCTAACATGTACTGTCAACTGTGGGGCCTTATATAGACAGGTGTGTTTCTTTCTAAATCATGTCCAAACAATTGAATTGGCCACAGGTGGACTCCAATCAAGTTGTAGTGGCATCTTAAGGATGACCAACGAAAATTGGAGTGTCATATACAAAGGGGTGTGAATACTTACGTAAATGTGATTTCAATTCCAAGAAATTTGCAAAAATGTGGGGTATTGTGTGTAGCTGGGTCAGAAAAAAAATCTGTTTAATCAATTTTGAATTCAGGCTGTAACACAAAATGTTGAATAAGTCAAGGAGTATGAATACTTTCTGAAGGCACTGTATTTATCTCTCATGGTCGCCATTGACTAATGTAAATATTGCACATTTTAAATCGTTATAATTCAAAAAGTATAAATAGTATCAAAAATCTGTATATAAGCAATCTAAGTAGGGTCAGTCTGAACATCTCAACGTTGGTTTGGAGTTGATAACTTAAATGGTGAAAGAGGAGATAGGTGTAGAATGTTAGGTTATTTTTACCATTGAAGTTTATGGCCCTTTTCTGCCATTGAATTGCATTGGGAGCTCATTTAAATATTATTGTAGTAAAAAAAGTATAAATGCTCTCAAAAATATTTTCTCAAGCAATCTAAATTGGGACAGTCTGCACATTTGGAAGTTGGTTTTGTGTTAATAGTGTACAACGTTTAAGCGCTAGGGTGACCCAAAGAAATCAAATAATAATAATAAGACTATGTAAGAAATCTAGAGTTGTGCTTGGCTTCAGCAAGCACACCTAATTATAGATATTTTTGGGACAAATATAGGCCGGTCAGGACCGGACACGTGTGGACGTTGAAATCAGGGTCGGTCCAGACCAGACAAAATCTGAACCAAACATAGATGTCTATGTTTGGGCCAAGTATTGCCGGGGCGGCAGGTAGCTTAGTGGTTAAGAGCGTTTTGCCAGTAACCGAAAGGTCGCTGGTTCTAATCCCCAAGCCAACTAGGTGAAAAATCTGTTGATGTGCCCTTGAGCAAGGCACTTAACCCTAATTGCTCCTGTAAGTCGCTCTGGATAAGAGCGTCTGCTAAATGACAAAAAAAAAAAAAAAAAAGTTACGTCCGGTCCGGACCAAAACTGAACCAAATATAGATGTCTATGATTGGTTCAGATTTTGTCCGGTCTGGACCAAAAATAACTGTCCTAGGATGTTGAAATCAAGGCCGGTCCGGACTGCACCAAAAAAAGACAGCGGGTCCAGACAGGACCAAAAAAAGACGTCGCTGACGGTAAATGCTTAGTGGGTAGTAACTCATAACAATTTTTTCTCTCAACTCCTGTGTGTGCTGTTGTAGGTAGACACCCACATCCATGCAGCTGCCTGCATGAACCAGAAGCACCTCCTGCGTTTCATCAAGAAGTCTTACCAGGTGGACGCTGACCGTGTAGTGCAAAACGTCAAGGGCAAAGATGTGACCATGAAGGAGCTGTTCGCCAACCTCAACCTGCACCCCTATGACCTCACTGTCGATTCCCTGGATGTGCATGCTGTGAGTCATACCGCTAGCTAGTTTAGCAATCAAAGGGGGGAAAGCAGTCCTGTGGCCACAGGGCAAGTGCGCTACTATTTCCTGTGTCATAAAGGTCCAGACCTCTTGGCAGAAGCCGTAGAATGCTTACATAGTAAGCTGCATATGGTGAAACTATTATTTTGTTACTTTTTCCATTGCCAAAGTGTACATTCCTTGGTCTTACATGCTTCTCTCTCTTTCTTTTCTCTTAAGGGCAGACAAACCTTTCAGCGTTTTGACAAGTTCAATGCCAAGTACAACCCTGTGGGAGCCAGCGAGCTGCGTGACCTCTACATGAAGACAGAGAACCACATCGATGGAGAGTACTTCGCCAGGATCATTAAGGTTAGACTCAGCGATTGCTTAGCTAGTGTCACTTTTGTAAACACCGCTTGATTACAACCAGCTAATTCTATATTTTTCGCACCCAGGAAGTGGCCTCTGATCTGGAGGATGCCAGGTACCAATATGCAGAGCCCCGTCTGTCCATCTATGGCTGCAACCCTAACGAGTGGACCAAGCTCTCCGGCTGGTTCAACAAGCACAGAGTCTTCTCCCCTCAACTCAAGTGGATGATTCAAGTGCCCAGGATCTAGTAAGTTATATCTCTCTGTTCTTCAGTGAATGTGCCCTACCCTTTTTGCACCCTTTGGCAAGTTTGGCAAACTCAGTATAAAATTATACTATTTTATGGGCGTCATGTTGGCCCTCCAAGTAAAAACAAACAAACAGAATCTCTTTTTAAATGGCTCTCTAAATAATGATATTCGTACATTTAGAATAATGTCTGAAGAACACATTTATTACAATGGCATGTCATGTTTGTAAACTACTAACCGCTCATTCTCTGTACTGCCACCTCAGTGACGTCTTCAGAGGCAGGAACTTTGTGCCCCACTTTGGAAAGATGCTGGAGAACATATTCCTGCCTGTTTTCCAGGCCACCATCGAACCCCACGCTAACCCTGAGCTCAGCATCTTCCTCAAGCATGTGAGTGAGACTGGAATGAGGGACCATGGATGAAGGAGGTTTACTTTTTAAAGTTGCAATATGCAACCTTTTGTGCGACCCGACCAAATTCACATAGAAATGTGTGTTATAGATCTGTCATTCTCATTTAAAGCAAGTCTAAGAAGTAGTAGATCTGTTCTATGTGAGCTATTTCTGTGCTTCCTGTTCTCAAGTTTTGTTTTTGCGTCTTTTACTTTCGGTTTTGTACATCAGCTTCAAACAGCTGAAAGTACAATATTTCTGGTTATAGAAAATATATTTCACAGCGTTTTAGATGTTACAATGATTTTCTACACTGTACTTGCTTGTTTTGTCACATCAACTGAAATTAGGCGAACTAGCAACCAGGAACGGCAGAGTGATTTCTGCATAGTGCATCTTTAAATTGATACTTTCAAGGGGTAGTTCACTCAAATGTCATAATTCATGATTGTTCTCCAGCCTTGATGGAAATGTTATCAGAATGTTTTTTACATTTTCAATCACTTTTAAAAAAGAATAGTTTGGTATGATATATGAAGAAAATGCATTGAATATCAAGGCAATCTCTTCGTTCTCCATCTTCCTCCGCTCTGTAGGTGACAGGTTTCGACAGTGTGGATGACGAGTCCAAGCACAGTGGTCACATGTTCTGCACCAAGAGCCCCAAACCAGAGGAGTGGGACATTGTCAAGAACCCCTCCTACACTTACTACATCTACTACATGTATGCCAACATCACTATGATCAACCATCTCCGCAAGTGAGTATCGCATGTCAAATCACAACCCACTGGGCACACACTGGTTGAACCAACGTGGAATAGACGTTGAATTGACGTCTGTGCCCAGTGGGAATCCACATGTCCTTCAAGAAATTGTTGCATGAAAAGTAAAATTCAAACATGATACACTCCTAAAATTGTTTGTTTTGTGTTTGCTTTCTAGGGCTAGGGGAATGAACACCTTCCAGTTCAGGCCCCACTGTGGAGAGGCTGGAGCCGTCACCCATCTGCTGGCCTCCTTCATGACCGCTGACAACATCTCTCACGGCCTCAATCTCAAGAAGGTCCGTAGCCTCTCCAAACAATGGCCTCTGTTTCTTTGGCACTATCAAAACCTAAACACATTACACAACTAACTCCTGTGGTCCTAATGTTGACGTTTGTATCTAACCCTCCCACTCAACAGAGCCCTGTGCTGCAGTACCTTTACTTCCTGGCCCAGATTCCCATTGCCATGTCTCCACTCAGCAACAACAGTCTCTTCCTGGAGTATGCCAAGAATCCTCTTCTGGAGTTCCTCAAGAAGGGCCTGATCGTCTCCCTGTCCACTGATGACCCCATGCAGTTCCACTACACCAGGGTGAGGCCAGACTGGGAGCCCGTCTGGTAGTGTGTGTGTTGTCTAGAAAGATATTTACCTGTTTTGGTGCTCTCTTGGTTAATGTTGGTGCATTATGCGCCAATCAACTGGCCCAAGGTTCCATTCAGTTCAAAATGGTAACGGCTAATGTTAAGCTGATCCTAAATCAGTTATAGAGAGTAAGCAAGACGCCAAGCTTACTCTGCTCTGGCTGTGTGTCCTCAGGAGCCCCTGATGGAGGAGTACGCCATTGCAGCCCAGGTGTTCAAGCTCAGCACCTGTGACATGTGTGAGATCTCCAGGAACAGTGTGCTGCAGAGCAGCCTGTCTGCTGAGGTAACAAACCCAACAGACGACAAACAGGATAGACAATATACTACCTCATAGACCCACAATTTAGCCACACTGTGTAAGGCCTGAAGCATTAATATTTTACACAAAGACAGGACAGATTATGATTCATGGCTAAACTCTTGCTTTTCTAACATTTTGATACATTACAATCTACATGAAAGTATGAGTTCAATCATAGTATAGACTAGTTGGATGACAGCACTGTAATAGACTGCCATGGCTAATTGCCATCATAATATCATCAGCACCAAAACGTGTTGCCTTGGTTTCTTTCTACAGGAGAAGACTCACTTCCTGGGTCCCGACTATCTGAAGGAGGGCCCTGAGGGCAATGACATACGCAAGACCAATGTCGCCCAGATCCGTATGGCTTATCGCTACGAGACACTGTGCTATGAGCTCAACCTTATCAAGGAGGGTCTGAAGACTGACTGAACAATCTGAGATGTTATGTTTTATGGTGATGGCCCCTGCTAAATGTAACGATTATTTAAGACAACCTTCTTGTGTACTGGTGTTCCCTCCATGGCAAACCACATGGTCTATTTATTTGAATGGGTGTTGCTAGTGTCATCTGGTGGTTGTGTGCAACTAATTTGAATTTAACACAGTTTGCATATTGTGATGGGGTCAGTGCTATCCGGAATCCTTGGGACGTCCATACCCTTAACAATTTCAACTTCAATGTGGTAGGGACATCACAAAGATACCGGATAACACTGACCTATAGTGATCATCCTGTTTGTGTCTGTTGTATTCCATCTTTTCATTTGATTGGTTTCACTGTCCTTGTACTTGTTTATGAATGTGTGAAAACAATTCATCTTTCTAGATGTGCCATAATATTACAAGAATGATTTGAAACAAATAAATGAAATGTTAAAATAAATATAATTTGATTTCTGTATTCATATTTTTGTCAAACCAAACCACGACAGAATTGATTTGCTGAAATGTATGCCCCTGCCCTGTCAGTTACTGATTTCTGAGTGGATAGAAATGACATCTTCCTGTGATTGTGTCAATCAACCTTCTCCTACAAATCAAGACATCCAGTCGTTGGATGAGACAGCAGGAGGTGGCGACGCCTTTTAGCTCACAGGATCAATATGGAGCCCCCTGAAAACTTTCTCACTTGCTTCCAGTTGTACCACTAGCAAATATTTCGGTGCCTGCTTAACGTTATTCCTTACTGTCCAAGACTGGTGAACGGTAGTTGGAAGTAAATAGACGTTTTTGCTCTAAAATAATACATTTTGGTGATAGCTAGCTACAGTTAGCTTTAGCGGCTAATCAGCTAACGGGGAATGTGTGGCTAACTAACTAGTGCGATGGAACGCCCGATTTGGAATTCGTCGTGATTTCCTACTGCGAGAAACACTTGTAATGAGTCAACTAGGACGAAGATTATAGCTAATATTGTTGTCTAAAACCAACCACTACACACAGGGAACAGGTCTAATTTGCTGTTTACGATACTTTTTGCTATTAAAGAAGTTGGGATTGCTGCAAGCGACCTCGAGAGAAACCAATTGGAGGTGGGTAATACATATTGCTATGATTCAGTGGATTAAAAGCAAATAATTTGCTGTCTGAGATTAGGCATTTTGCTTGGTGTCCCCCGTTGCCTGGTCTCACATCCCATTTACTGATTTAGCTACAAGTTATCAGTAACTTGTTATAACGTGTTGCATTGATTGCACATTTGTCACCTCGCAACCTCATGCATGGCATTATTTATTAATTTGTTTAGTTAATCTAGCCTACTACTTGCAAATTAATTACATCTGTTGATTAGGATAATCTTAATCAGATGTAAACAGGACAGCTAATCTCTAAGTATATTTACAGATACATTATGGCAAGGGTGAGATCAGCACCAGTGTAAGAATGAAAATACATTCCACATGACCTAATATAAACTGCATTGACTGTTTACTGAAACAACACTCCTTACCCCTTCTTTTGTATCCCACCTAGGGCAAGTTTTGTCATGCAGCAATTCTTGCAGAGGGCGGTTTATGGTTGTTTTGAACGTGCAATTAGGTTTAATTTATGTTGGTAGGTGATGACAGAGTATTTGGGTCTTGATGATCCCTGTTTGGATTCTACTGGAGTAACATTGGTGTTCGTGAGTTCCACTACAAGTTTAAAGTGGAATGATAAAATGACCATCCTACACACACAAATAAAGCAAGTGGGTAAGAGTGATAAGTGACAGTTTTCAGTGTAGGATGGGTCCTGGCTATGAGATTCCACTACATACATTGGATTTAGGTCAAACCAAACAAAAGCGTCATTTGCGGAGCCTGACTGACCTACTGTCTCTGGTCAAATGTATTCCCCCTGCCCCCTCCTAGCTGGAATGCAGCACATATAATCATTATTATCATGAGCATCACTGGAATTTCACCATGTCTCCCTTCTCTAAATGCTTTCATCTTTCAACGTAATGTGCAATGTGTCTAAGTGCTTTGCTTCCAGCAAACAGAGTACAGTAACCAAATTAGAAAGGAAGCTGGAACAGGAGTTTGAATCTATTTAGGCAAGATTTCACATAAGGACTTGGGCCTCTCCATACAGTTTGGATGGTGCATACAATGAGGGGGCTGTGCAAGATCATACATATGAGTATTGCATGCCAAACTGTTCAGTTGTAGTTTTAGCACAAGCTAAATGCATTATGGAGTAATTCACTGTGAGGGACTCAAAATGTCAATGTTTCAATAGTCTGTTCCTATCAAATAGTCTACTAGGTCTAAATTAATTAAATTAGCTAAGAGTTTACGGCCATATAGAATATATTTTACAGTAATAAGACATCACTGTGGTTGTGATGGGGATTTACTGGAATCCTTCATAATTTATCTTAATTGTTTGTGCATGCGAATGCATGTGCTCCTATCTTCGGTTAATGTTTTTATGGCGCTTAGGCCTAGACATTCTGAAGTCAAGATAAAAATACTTGGAATACCCATCCTGGCATCTTTCCTGATCCACTGAAAGAGACCTTTTGAGATGAGAGTAAATTAGATGTAATGTTTTAATCTGTCATGGTGTTCTGTAATGGGACAGCTGTGGTTAAGGATGGGACAGGGGGACAGCCAACTCCCATGATATCACTCTGGCTGCACAAAGCTCCTGCCGTTCTCTTCTTTTCTCCTCCGGGTTTTATTTTTGGCTACTGACCTTGACATGAGCCTATCCTCTCCAGTTTCCTCCGGCCAAACACATCCCGTACGCCTTCCACTGCCTCAGGAGTGTGCTGTTGAAAGATACAGTGCCTTCAGAAAGTATTCATACCACTTGACCTATTCCACATTTTGTTGTGTTACAGCCTGAATTCAAAATTGATTAAATATAATTTTTTTCTCTCAACCATCTACACACACTACCCCATAATGACAAAGTGAAAACATGTTTTTAAAAATTGTTGCAAATTTATTGAAAATGAAATACAGAAATCTCATTTACACAGGTATTCACAGCCTTTTGCTATTACACTCCAAATTGAGCTCTAGTGCATCCAATTTTATTTGATCATCCTTGAGACGTCGCTACAACTTAATTGGAGTCCACCTGTGGCCAATTCAATTTTTTGGACATGGTTTAGAAAGAAACACACCTGTCTATACAGTTCACAGTGCATGTTGGAGCAGAAACTAAACCATGAAGTCCAATGAACTGTCTATAGATCACAGAGATAGAATTGTGATGAGGCATATGTCTTGGGGAAGGGTATAAAACAATTTCTAGAGTGTTGAACGTTTCCAGGAGCACAGTGGTCTTCATCATTGGGAAATCGAAAAAATAGGGAACTACCTAGACTCGGCCTAGACCTGGCCGTCCGACCAAACTGAGCAACTGGGCAAGAACGACCTTGGTCAGGGAGGTGACCAAGAACCCAATGACTACTCTGACAGGACTACAGAGTTCCTTGGCTGAGATGGAGGACCTGCCAGAAGGACAACAGTCTATACCAGGGTTCTTCAATTCTGGTCCTGGAGGGCCGAAACACCTCTGTTTTTCATCCTCTCCTTCTAATCAGGGGCTAATTCAGACCTGGGACACCAGGTGAGTGCAATTAACTACCAGGTAGAAATAAAAAAACAGAAGTGTTTCGGCCCTCCAGGACCGGAATTGAAGAACCCTGCTCTATACAGCACTTCACCAATCAGGGCTTTATGGGAGAGAGTGGCCAGACAGAAGCCACTCCTGAAAAAAAGGCACATGAAAGACTGAGATCATAAGGCAAAAAAGTATGTGGTCTGATGAGACAAATCAAAATCTTTGGCCCAAATGCAAAGCTCTATATTTGATGAAAACCAGGCACAGCTCCTCACCCGTCTAACGCCATCCTTACCATGAAGCATGTGGCGGCAGCATCATGCTATGGGGATGCTTTTCAACGGCAGGGACTGGGAGACTGGTAAGGATAGAGGGAACAATGAATGGAGCCAAATACAGGCAAATCCTTGATGACAACCTGTTTCAGAGTGCAAACGACCTTAGACTGGGGGCGAAGATTGTCCATACAGCCAAAGCAACACTGGAATGGCTTCAGAACAAGAATGTGAAAGTCATTGAGTGGCCCAGCCAAAGCCCAGACTTGAATCCCATTGAAAATCTGTGGACAGACTTGAAGATTACTGTTCACCGCCGCTCCCCATCTAACTTAACAGAGCTTGAGAAAATCTGCAAGGAAGAATGGGAGAAAATCCCCAAATCCAGATGTGCAAAGCTAATACAGACATACCCAAGACGACTCAAAGCTGTAATCGCCGCCACAGGTACTTCTACAAACTATTGACTCGGGTGTGGATACTTATGTAAATGAGCTTTTCTGTATTTCATTTTCAATACATTCGCACACATTTCTAAAAGCATGTTTTCACTTTGTCATTATGGGGTATTGTGTGTAGATGTGTGAGATTTTTTTAATTTAAAAAATCCATTATGAATTCTGTCTGTAACACAAAATGTGGAATAAGTCAAGGGGTATGAATACTTTCTGAAGGCACTGTAATAGTGTCGTCATCTTCCTCACTAGATACTGCTTTCTCGTCAGAGTGTTGTCTTAACTTGTTTTGAAGTGCTGATGGGTGAGTAATAACTTTTGTGTCCATTGCTTTGCAGGTCCTTCTTTATGAGGAGAAGAGGGAAAAGAGCAGTCCCTGACCCTGTTTAACGGAAGAGGTTTAAAAGTAAAAAGGAAACGATAGAAGAAAGACCCCTGTGGATCTCCTTGCCTTCCATAGGCTACTGTGGTTATACCAGTCGTAGGACAGACTCACTGTTTTTAACAGTGTCTCTGTCTATACACCGGGAGGGTCCTCATGCCTCCACCAACTATGCAGTGAGGGTGAGCTGGCAGTGTGCCCCCTCTCACCATGCTGGCACTGGGCATAGAGCAGGGGAGAGGTGGAGGGGGACGGGGTCGGGCTACTGTGGCCTGGCAGGCCCCCTCCTCAGGGAAGCCTCTAACCCAGGACCCAGGGAGGCCTACTGTGGCCTGGCAGGCCCCCTCCTCAGGGAAGCCTCTAACCCAGGACCCAGGGAGGCCTACTGTGGCCTGGCAGGCCCCCTCCTCAGGGAAGCCTCTAACCCAGGACCCAGGGAGGCCTACTGTGGCCTGGCAGGCCCCCTCCTCAGGGAAGCCTCTAACCCAGGACCCAGGGAGGCCTACTGTGGCCTGGCAGGCCCCCTCCTCAGGGAAGCCTCTAACCCAGGACCTAGGGAGGCCTTCAATCCACAAACCAGGCCTCAACATCATGCAGAAGATCTCCCAGTGGGAAGGGCTCTGTCAACCAGACATTAGTGGGCAAGCCAATAGGGTCAAAGCGCATGCACCAGTTGTATCCCGATCTCTTTCAGGGGATGTCCAGGGTAACGGAGTATGTAGCGACAGTCGGAGAGGCGGACCTCTCGGCAAAGCCAACCTCTCTAAAGCCAAAAGCCTGGGTTTGGATTTCAGGGAAAACCTACAAGCACGGGGCGGACACAAGGTCATTGGCAGAAAGTCGGATCCCCCTCAGAATCACTCCTGTTTCAGTAAGACTTCAACCACAATACCAGTGTCCAAGCCATTCACAGTGCCTTCGCAAACTCTTACAACAGACACTACAAACATCTTCCAAGTAGAAAGGATCATCCCCACCAATGGTGAACTGAAGGTGGGTAATGTGTTGAAAGTTAAGTGGACCAAACCCCAATGTCTGTCAGTGGATGACCATGGAGAAAGCCTGCCCCCAGGGAATTTCTACACCTCAAGGGGCTTCTGGCGGAGGCTGGAGGGAGATGTGTTGTTCTGGGAGAAGGGAAGAAATACCTCCGCAGAGCCTCAGAGTGCTGTGGGTCCAGTGACTCGCCCTCCACCAAAACCACAACGGACGTTTCAGTATCAGGGAGCGGACAGCACCCCAGCACACTGGGTCCAATGGGATAGCAGGACTCCATCTGCCAACCAATCCAACACCAAGTGCAGTGGCATAACCCACCCACCTAGCTTCCCACCACCCCTGTGTCCTGTCAGCCATGGCAATGGGTTTTCCAGACACAGAAAGAACAGGTGAGTTAATGATACTGACACCTCTAGGCTAAATCTACAAGACCAGTGGGCGTGCGTCATGCCAGAGTACCGGTAGTATAGAGAAAGTCTAGTTTACCATTTTAAAACAGAACATTTTGGGCATTTTCCTTTTGTAATGGCTTTAGTCAAGGGAAAACCTGGTTGTTCGAAATACAAAAACATATTCATTACTTGGTGAAAGTCTTTCTCTGTCCTGAGCTATTGTGCTCTCAAACAGTGTCCTTAGTTGTAAATTGTTTTATGTTAAGTTGGAGAATGAGAGTGTTTTAGAGGCAAAGTTTGAGTGAGAGAAGGGTCAGTCTAGCATTTGGGCGGCCTCCAGGTGTGATGTCACAATCTTTGGCAGCATTGCAGACTATTGTCTGGATATGGCCTACTTCCACAACAGCCAATGGTCCAGGGGTCACATTTGTTTGTTTTGACACGCATAAACACGCGAACACACACACACCAGCTCTGACATTGAATTCCACTAATGTAGTCTCCTAATTTTTCTATCAGATTGTATTCTCTATGAGGGCAATTCCATATGAACACACAGTAAGGTTTCAAATGACACCAATACTGGCTTTGTAGCATCTACTGAAGGCCTGGGTAAATGTCACACATTATTTCTCAATAATCATTTTAGATAGACTTCAAAGGTATGCCAAAAATCCTACCCCCTAAGGACCTTTTCTATGGTTTTAATTTCAGGAAGATCCAAAAATCATATCTTTGGGTCAATCTCGTATGGGATTCCCCATGCGTCTTTAGCATAACCATCCAAATTGCTTTCTATTAGGTTTACTCTTGTAACACTCTTTCCTGCTCTCTCTCTTGCTCACACTCTCCGTATTGACCTTAACTCTTAGCCACATGTTCAATGTATTTTTCTCTAAGCTCTCCGTGCTTCTATTTTACAATTTTCTTTTTTTTCTCCCTGACTCTCCCTCCTATGATCTTTATCGCCATCACTAGCCGGCTACCACCCGGTTACTCAACCCTGCACCTTAGAGGCTGCAGCCCTATGTACATAGACATGGAATCACTGGTCACTTTAATAATGGAACACTAGGCACTTTAATAATGTTTTACATGCTGTTTTACTCATTTAATATGTATATACTGTATTCTACTGTATTTTAGTCAATGCCACTCCGACATTGCTCATCCTAATATTGATATATTTCTTAATTCCATTCTTTTACTTTTTGATTTGTGTGTATTGTTGTGAATTGTTAGATACTACTTCACTGTTGGAGCTAGGAACACAAGCATTTCGCTACACCCGCAATAACATCTGCTAAATATGTGTATGTGACCAATAAAATTTGATTTTATCAACTTGCGAAAACCCGTCCAATGCCGAGGCCCTTTGGCTGAACATAAGAGGACAATACATTGAACAACACCATGCTGACTGTGTTTAGAGTGACAGTGGCCCCTGTCTCACATCCCCCTCTCTCCCTCCATTTTTACAGGAAGTCCTTTGAGTTTGAGGATGTGGTGCGGTTGACAGCGCAGCAGGGCACACTGGGAAGTGGGGCCAGGCGCTCCGGCCTGTTCCACGCCTTCTCTGACGACAACATTTATGAGGACATTATCTGTGAGTTCACCCCTGACACAAAGTGAAAAAAGACACTTCACTAAGGCAGCCTGAGTCATCTTACAATCTCAGGAACATTTAGGAACCAATTATTTCCTAGTCTTACTTCCCATTGTCGTAACCACTGATAAAGAATGGCTGGAATATACATTTTTCTCCATATTGTCACATATCAAGTCCTTTTTAGATCAGTGGTGGACATGAAAGGAGATAAAGGCAGCCATTTAAGACCATTAGGACTTAGTCATGGACTATTAGCGTATTATACTGTGTATCATCTGTCTCCCTCACCTTTGACCCTGGCCAGCTGGACCCCTGACCAGAGACAACCCATATGAGGATGTCAAGCTGTCTCCTACTATGTGTCTCCCCATCAGGCGTCCCCAACCCTGGACCATGGCACAGAGAGAGAGCCCTCACACCCCAAAGGTAGTAATGGCAACTGATTAACAGGATATTAGATTTCAATTGAGCCCAGTATGATATGGAAAAAAAAACATGCTTTAATCTTTAATTAACACGGTCCCCTTGTATCCTGTTTCGCAGCTCCCTCCCAAGCCTCTCACATTGCGGGTGGAGAGGAAGGAGACCCTGGCAGCGACACGATCCACCCCTACCTCCACTACTGAAGCCCCCCCCAGACCTGCCTTACCCAAGCGACCCACAACCACCCACAAAACATACAGACTGCCTCAGGTAAACACACACAATCATTTTATACACAGTGGAAAGTGTATTTACCACAAACTATTAGCTATTTTATTTTGTAATTTGGCGCTGAGCGGGAATAGCAGCCTATTATGTTAGGTGGATTGGTTTGTTTGCATGACTACACATAGAGATCAATCTGAGCTTCCTGTATGCTTGGCTCTGGATCCAGGTCACTCATTCCGCTGCTCAAGTTGAAACTTGACAGATGGCCCTATCCAGTCCAAACTGGTACCCATTAGGATCAATCAATCAATCACATTTATTTATAAAGCCATTTTTACATCAGCAGATGTCACAAAGTGCTATACAGAAACCCAGCCTAAAACCCCAAACAGCAAGCAATGCCGATGTAGAATCATGGTGGCTAGGAAAAACTCCCTAGAAAGGCAGAAACCTAGGAAGAAACCTAGAGAGGAACCAGGCTCTGAGGGGTGGCCAGTCCCCTTCTGGCTGTGCCGGGTGGAGATTATAACAGTACATGGCCATTAAGGCCAGATTTTTCTCCCAAGATATTCAAACGTTCATAGATGACCAGCAGGTCAAATAATAATCACAGTGGTTGCAACAGGTCAGTACATCAGGAGTAAATGTCACTTGGCTTTTCATAGCCTGGCATTTAGAGGTTGAAATAGCAGGTGCGGTAGAGAGAGAGAGTTGAAAACAGCATGTCTGGGACAATGTAGCACATCCGGTGAACAGGTCAGGGTTCCATAGCCGCAGGCAGAAGAGTTGAAACTGGAGCAGCAGCACGACCAGGTGGACTGGGGACAGCAAGGAGTCATCAGGCCAAGTAGTCCTGAGGCATGGTCCTAGGGCTCAGGTCCTCCGGGAGGGGAGGGAGAGAGGGAGAGTGAGATAATTAGAGGGAGCGTACATAAATTCACACAGGACACCGGATAAGACAGGAGAATAACACCAGATATAACAGTCTGACCCTAGCCCCCCGGCACATAGACTATTGCAGCAAAGGAAACCTTTTTCAGTGCAAAAAGGAAGTTGTGCTTGAATTACATTTATTGATTCGCTAACTTTTCTAAAAGGTTTGTGGCCAGATCACATGTATGTCAACAACATTGTGATGATATGTCACATGGATGTGATTTATTTGTATCAGATAAATATACTGAACAAAAATATGAATGCAACAATTTCAAAGATTTTACTGAGTTACAGTTCATATAAGGAAATCAGTCAATTGAAATAAATAAATTAGGCCCTAATCTATGTATTTCACATGACTGGGCAGGGGTGCAGCCATGGGTAGGCCCACCCATTTGGCAGCCAGCCCCACCCACTGCGGAGCCAGGCCCAGCCAATCAGAATCAGTTTTTCCCCTCAAAGGGCTTTATTTCAGACAGAAATACTCCTCAGCCCCCCCACCCCCTCTCAGACGATCCTGCAGGTGAAGAAGCCGGATGTGGGGGTCCTGGGCTGGCCTCGTTACACTTGGTCTGCGGTTTTGAGGCCGGGTGGACTTACTGCCAAATTCTCTAAAACAACGTTGGAGGCAGCTTATGGTAGACATTCAACTCTCTGGCAATAGCTTGGTGGACATTCCTGCAGTCAGCATGCCAATTGCACGCTCCCTCAAAACTTGAAACATCTGTGGCATTGTGTTGTGTGACAAAACTGCACATTTTGTGTGGCCTTTTATTGTCCCCAGCACAAGGTGCACCTGTGTAATGATCGTGCTGTTTAATCAGCTTCTTGATATGCCACACCTGTCAGGTGGATTGATTATCTTGGCAAAGGAGAAATACTCACTAACAGGGATGTAAACAAATTTGTGCACAACATTTTTGAGAAATAAGTTTTTTGTGTGTGATTTTTTAATTTTTAGCTCATAAAACATGGGACCAACACTTTACATGTTGCGTTTTTTATATTTTTGTTCAGTGTATATCTTTGTGTATGTGTTTGTTTGTGTGTGGTTTCTCTGACGCAGTATGTGAACAAGATTCATGTGATCTTTGACGCCAAGCGAGGGAGAAAGAGAGTGAAGAGCCAGGCACAGGGCGGTTCAGCTCGAGGTATGACTGTTTTTACCCTCGAACTTGTCTACAAGATGAAGATGTACTGCTCTCTGTAAATACCCAGCGTTTCATGAGATACGATACATCCCGTCACTGGTACAAATACAATACAAAGACACTGTCTTCTATAATGTCTCTTTCTTTCATCCTTTATTACTCGCTCTCTGCCTCTCTCTCATTTTCTCTTGCGCGCTCTCTCTCTCTCATGCTCTGAACAGAGGAGACCAGTGGAACTGAGAGTGACCCAGAGGACAACACTAAAGGTACTACTATAGGACTGACCTTCTGCTTGTCTAATTGTCATTCACATTTAAAGTAAAAGTCCATTCCAAAATCAATGTTTGGCAGATGTTTTTAGAATGTTGAGATCAGTCAATGTCCCACGCCTTCTACTACAGTTGTGTAGTTCCAGCCTCAATCCCAACATTTAATCAGATAAAATATCCTGTTCAACTAGATTCACCTTGTCAGGTTTTTTATTTTTAAAACTCTGTCTCCACCAGGAGGGTCCAGGCGCTCGGTCTATGTCCAGTCCACGCTGAAGCGGAGGCCAGGCTACCGCACCCTGGAGAGGGACCTGATCCAGCTCCAGCAACAGCAGCTCTTCCAGCTCTTCGTGGTTGTGTCACTCCGAAAGAGTTCCCCGGGAAACACCTACTCCCCTGAGATCACGCAACAGTTTCCCAACAAGGTTATTGTCAATTGAAATCAATTGAAGCCAACCTCTTTCAGGTGGGTGGGCAACAGAGCTAGGCGGCAGGACCCACTTATCCAATTTTTATAGGGGAAACCATGGATGGACTCAAAGGAACCCCAGAATGTTTTGAGTTGCCATCGTTTTTTGTTACCATTGTATTTCTCTTAACTTTTTTCTGTTTTACTGGCCAGGGAATAAAATGAGTCTATAAAATGAGTCTCTCCTTTCTTTATGGGTGTAGTTTGCGAAGTCTTCTCGTCACTCCCGTGAAGCTGAAGACCGGCTGAAGGCCATCCCCAAGTTCTGCTTCCCAGACTCTCAGGACTGGCGGCCATCTGGAGACCTGCCCAGGTAAGCTGCTGTCACGTTCACATTATGGTCACAGTATGTAGCAGTGGTGGATATTCATATAAGGGGGCTGAAACAACCACTTAATATAAGCATTGAAACAGGTCAAAACTTAAAAAGTAGTTGCTTTTTTGTAATCACTGTGCTAGAATTAAATATGATTAAGTGCAAGATATGTCAAATGAAAGGTTGAACATCTAGTGATTCAGACAAAGAAAAACATGATTGCAGTTCATATGCTATGCTTAGTTTTTTCCCCAGGGAGTCTGCCCTAGAACACTGCTAAACTCTACTACAATGTGTATCCCTGTCATATTGTCTATGCTTCTGTCTCTATAGTGAAACGTTCTCTTTTGTCTTGACGGGAGAGGATGGCAGCCGTTGGTTTTGTTACTGTCGTAAGATCCTGGTGAGTGTGTGTGTGTGTGTGTGTGTGTGTGTGTCTGCCTGTGCATTTGTTTGTGAGGACTTGGCAGTAAAGTGCTTACTCAACATCTCTAAGGGATATACTCCATCTGAATCATAGGCCATAAAACGTCTGAATCAATTAGCCAAACTAAAAATAATTTCACATTTGTCCGCATGTTAAATCTATGACTGTACATGAATGTTAGATTTGTGTGTTTTGAATGCATTGCTCAATGCATTGTTTCTGTTATCCCCCAGAAAGCCAGCGTTGATATAGCCTTTCAATAACATTGTTGATACTGAATGCCAGGGTTGGTTTTCACGCTCATCTCTGTGTTGATTTGTGCCATTTAGCCCTGTGGAAAGGGGAAGAGACTGCCTGAAGTTCACTGTATTGTAAGCAGACTGGGCTGCTTCAACCTGTTTGCTAAGGTAACCTGCAGTCTGATTAAACTCTTCATATAAAATGCATTTTAGCCTGCTTGTACACATTGAAAAGGGTTGAAACTAAATCCTGTGAAAATGTCCAAGCTAATCAGAAGGGTGTGTTTTGAGAAGGATCATTTATATATTTCACGATGTGTTATTATGTACCAGCCAATGTTTGAGTTGGTGCAGGTGAGAGGGGACAGGTGTGCATGCAGTGTAAATAAAAGGTGAAGAAAGCAGCCAGTATTTAATGGAGTCCTGGTGAATTCCCTTGTTGAGACTTGTCATCAGGATAGTCTTTGTGTTTAGGGGTGTAGTTATGGATTTATATACTGGGTGTGTCTTTGTGTGCGTGTGGGTGGGTGCGTTTTCAGATCTTGGAGGAGGTAGAGAGGCGTAGGGAGATCTGTCCTGCCCTGGTGTCCCCCTTCATGCGTAGCGTCATGGAGGCTCCTTTCCCCGCCCCTGGACGCACCATCACAGTCAAGAGCTTCCTCCCAGGCTCAGGAAATGAGGTAACACAATCACAACTAAGAGGAAGTCACCCTAGGACTATAGGTAAAGAGTCACTACAGGAAGTTAGAAGAAGTAACAAGAGGAAGTCACACTAGTTAAGTTCCTACCTACCTTTTTATTACAGACAATGTCAATAACAACTGCAATCATGTGCAATGTCTCTGCCCAGCAACCAACTGTTGTAAGAGCAATAGCCAACCGTGTATCTCTGTGTGTGTGTGTCTCTGTGTGTGTGTGTGTGTGTGTCTGTGTGTGTGTGTGTCTCTGTGTGTGTGTGTGTGTGTGTCTCTGTGTGTGTCTGTGTGTCTCTGTGTGTGTGTGTGTCTCTGTGCGTGTGTCTCTGTGTGTGTGTGTGTGTGTGTGTGTCTCTGTGCGTGTGTGTGTGTGTCTCTGCGTGTGTGTGTGTGTGTGGTCAGGTGCTGACTCTGTGCCGGCCGGTGGACTCGAGGCTGGAGCATGTGGACTTTGAGAGCCTGCTGCAGTGCCTGAGCGTTGGGAGACTCCTGCAGGTGTTTGCCTCTCTGCTACTGGAGAGGAGGGTCATCTTTATCGCTGAGAAACTCAGGTGATGAGTTTCCTCTAGTACACACAGGTTCACTGGCATCTCCAGCTTGACTTGGGAGACAGTGGGAGGGCAGGTACAGCAGAGTACTGGTCCAGGATGGAATGTATTGTGCGCTTTGCTCTTCTGTTGGTCGGTGTGAAAAAGTGTGTACGTTTTCATAAGTAGTCCTAGTTAATTGTATTAAATAGACTGGATGAACTCCATATCTTTGACATGCCTTGTCTGTAAAGTGGGGGCCTCTTCTCTGGAATTTAACATCTCCATCCCTTTCTCCTCTCTTCAGTGTGCTGTCTCGTTGTGGCCATGCCGCGCTGGCGCTGCTCTACCCATTCACCTGGCAGCATACCTTTGTGCCTGTGCTACCTGCCAGCATGCTGGACATCAGCTGCTCTCCCACTCCCTTTCTCATGGGGGCGCTGGTGCCCTGCTTGCCCGAGCTGCTGGAGCTGCCCATAGAGGAGGTCAGTGACAAAGCTCACCATCTGATTCCCAGTGGCTAGTCACTAGATGGCCATGCTACAAAGGACAACATTGTCGATTTAATCAGAATTGATGAGGAAGTACAAGTGATTAGTTCCTTGAAAAGGTTTAGGGTTATTTAGCGTTCTGTCGCACACAGTGATTTATCAGACTTAATAAAGTATTGTAGTGCCACCTAGTGGTAGTTGTATAAATGTCATTACAGTAGAACTAACAAAAAACTGGAGTATCAAACTTCAAATAGTTACTAACAGTTAATGGTAGACAGTCCCTGATGTCTAATTTTGAAGCCCAATACTTGGACCTGCTTTCCTTTTGTCATTGATATGTTCTGTGTTCTGTCTCTGTTTGCATTCTAGGTGCTTATTGTAGATTTATGCGCAGACAAGTTTGTCAAACAGGTGTGTACATTTTACATTTTAGTCATTTAGCAGACGCTCTTATCCAGAGCGACTTACAGTATTCTTTCCTGTACTGGTCCCCCGTGGGAATCGAAGCCACAACTCTGGCGTTGCAAGCGCTATGCTCTACCAACTGAATTGTATTTAATTGCATTGTCTTTTGAAGTGACATTGTTTAATATCAATGTAAGTTGATGATTTCATACTACACTATGCCAGAGCTTGAATTTCTCTTGGATGTAGTCCAAATTCATATAGTGAGAATATTAAAGGGATAATCCACCCCCAGAAATAAAAATCATGGATATCCTGTCAATTTGGTGAAAGCCTACATTCTATCAGTGGGTAAAATAACAATAACAAGTGGTCTGTCTGTGAAATCCGGAAAATGCATACCATACAGTGCATTCGGAAAGGATTCAGACCCCTTGACTTTTTCCACATTTTGTTAGGTTACAGCCTTATTCTAAAATGGATTAGATCGTTTTTTCCCCTCATCAATCTATACACAATATCCCATAATGACAAAGCAAAAACAGGTTTGTAGAAATGTTTGCAAATGTATAAAAAAATAAAAATACTGATTTACATAAGTATTCAGACCCTTTACTTAGTACTTTGTTGAAGCACCTTTGGCAGCGATTACAGCCTCAAGTCTTCCTGGGTATGACACTACAAGCTTTCTTGGGTATGATGCTACAAGCATTCAGAGACGTGTCCCGATGCCACTCCTGCGTTGTCTTGGCTGTGTGCTTAGGGTCGTTGTCCTGTTGGAAGGTAAACCTTCACCCCAGTTTGAGGTCCTGAGTGCTCTGGAGCAGGTTTTCATTAAGGGTTTCTCTGTACTTTGCTCCGTTCATCTTTCCCTCGATCCTAACTTGTCTCCCAGTCCCTGCCGCTGAAAAACATCCCCACAGCATGATGCTGCCACCACCATGCTTCACCGTAGGGATGGTGCCAGGTTTCCTCCAGACGTGATGCTTGGCATTCAGGTCAAAGAGTTCAATCTTGGTTTCATCAGACCAGAGAATCTTGTTTCTCATGGTCTGAGAGTCCTTTAGGTGCCTTTTGGCAAACTCCAAGCGGGCTGTCATGTGCCTTTTACTGAGGAGTGGCTTCCATCAGACATTTTTTTGGTACCATTCCCCAGATCTGTGCCTCGACACAATCCTGTCTTGGAGCTCTACGGACAATTACTTCGACCTCATGGCTTGGTTTTTGCTCTGACATGCACTGTCAACTGTGGGACCTTATATAGACAGGTATGTGCCTTTCCAAATCATGTCCAATCAATTGAATTTACCATAGGTGGACTCCAATCAAGTTGTAGAAATTTCAAGGATGATCAATGGAAACAGGATAAACCTGAGCTCAATTCTAGTCTCATAGCAAAGGGTCTGAATACTTATGTAAATAAGGTATTTTCGTTTTTTTATTTTTAATAAATGCGCTAAAATGTCCTAAAACCTTTTTTTTTTGCTTTGTCATTATGGGGTAATGTGTGTAGATTGAGGATTTTTATTTATTTAATCAATTTTAGAAGACTGTAACGTAACAAAATGTGGAAAAAGGGAAGGGGTCTGAATACTTTCCGAATGCACTGTAGCTACAGAACATGGTTCTCCTCACTGCAGATAGGGGATAACACACTATCACATTTCATAACGCTTTTAAAACTATTACCTGCACTCCAGATCACCAAATCAGCCAATAGATGGTATGGGCATGCTTGTCTAGAACACATCTATCCTTTCATATCGTCATGACAAAGTATACTGAACAGAAATAAAAACTCAACATCCAACAATTTCAACAATTTTACAGAGTTACAGTTCATATAAGGAAATCAGTCAATTGAAATAAATTAGGCCCTAATCTATGGATTTCACATGACTGGGCAGGGGTGCAGCCATGGGTAGGCCCACCCATTTGGCAGCCAGCCCCACCCACTGCGGAGCCAGGCCCAACCAATCAGAATCAGTATTTCCCCACAAAAGGGCTATATTACAGAAAGTTTCAGCCCAGTTTCATCAGCTGTCCGGGTGGCTGGTCTCAGATGATCCCGCAGGTGAAGAAGCTGGATGTGGAGGTCCTGGGCTGGCGTGGTTACACGTGGTCTGCGGTTGTGAGGCCGGCTGGATGTACTTCCAAATTCTCTAAAACGACGTTAGAAGCGACTTATGGTAGAGAAATTAACATTCAATTTTCTGGCAACAGCTCTGGCGGACATTCCTGCAGTCAGCATGCCAATTGCACGCTCCCTCAAAACTTGAGACATCTGTGGCATTGTGTTGACAAAACTGCACATTGTAGAGTGCCTGTGTAATGATCATGCTTTTTGATATGGCACACCTGTCAGGTGGATGGATTATCTTGGCAAAGGAGAAATGCTCACAGGGATGTAAACAAATTTGTGCACACAATTTGAGAGAAATACGTTTTTTGTGCATGTGGAACATTTCTGTGATCTTTTATTCTAGCTCATGAAACATGGGACCAACACTTTACATGTTGCATTTATATTTTTATTTAGTATAGAGTGGGGAGAACAAGTATTTGATACACTGCCGATTTTGCAGGTTTTCCTACTTACAAAGCATGTAGAGGTCTGTAATTTTTTATCATAGGTACACTTCAACTGTGAGAGACGGAATCTAAAACAAAAATCCATAAAATCATATTGTATGATTTTTAAGTAATTAATTTGCATTTTATTGCATGACATAAGTATTTGATACATCAGAAAAGCAGAACTTAATATTTGGTACAGAAACCTTTGTTTGCAATTACAGAGATCAGACGTTTCCTGTAGGTCTTGACCAGGTTTGCACACACTGTAGCAGGGATTTTGGCCCACTCCTCCATACAGACCTTCTCCAGATCCTTCAGGTTTCGGGGCTGTCGCTGGGCAATACAGACTTTCAGCTCCCTCCAAAGATTTTCTATTGGGTTCAGGTCTGGAGACTGGCTAGGCCACTCCAGGACCTTGAGATGCTTCTTACGGAGCCACTCCTTAGTTGCCCTGGCTGTGTGTTTCGGGTCATTGTCATGCTGGAAGACCCAGCCACGACCCATCTTCAATGCTCTTACTGAGGGAAGGAGGTTGTTGGCCAAGATCTCGCGATACATGGCCCCATCCATCCTCCCCTAAATACGGTGCAGTCGTCCTGTCCCCTTTGCAGAAAAGCATCCCCAAAGAATGCTTCACGGTTGGTATGGTGTTCTTGGGGTTGTACTCATCCTTCTTCTTCCTCCAAACTCGGCGAGTGGAGTTTAGACCAAAAAGCTCTATTTTTGTCTCATCAGACCACATTACCTTCTCCCATTCCTCCTCTGAATCATCCAGATGATCATTGGCAAACTTCAGACGGGCCTGGACATGCGCTGGCTTGAGCAGGGGGACCTTGCGTGCGCTGCAGGATTTTAATCCATGACGGCGTAGTGTGTTACTAATGGTTTTCTTTGAGACTGTGGTCCCAGCTCTTTTCAGGTCATTGACCAGGTCCTGCCGTGTAGTTCTAGGCTGATCCCTCACCTTCCTCATGATCATTGATGCCCAACCAGGTGAGATCTTGCATGGAGCCCCAGACCGAGGGTGATTGACCGTCATCTTGAACTTCTTCAATTTTCTAATAATTGCGCCAACAGTTGTTGCCTTCTCACCAAGCTGCTTGCCTATTGTCCTGTAGCCCATCCCAGCCTTGTGTATGTCTACAATTTTATCCCTGATGTCCTTACACAGCTCTCTGGTCTTGGCCATTGTGGAGAGGTTGGAGTCTGTTTGATTGAGTGTGTGGACAGGTGTCTTTTATACAGGTAACGAGTTCAAACAGGTGCAGTTAATACAGGTGATGAGTGGAGAACAGGAGGGCTTCTTAAATAAAAACTAACAGGTCTGTGAGAGATGGAATTCTTACTGGTTGGTAGGTGATCAAATACTTATGTCATGCAATAAAATGCAAATTAATTACTTAAAAATCATACAGTGTGATTTTCTGGATTTTTAGATTCCATCTCTCACAGTTGAAGTGTACCTATGATAAAAATTACAGACCTCTACATGCTTTGTAAGTAGGAGAACCTGCAAAATCGGCAGTGTATCAAATACTTGTTCTCCCCACTGTATATATTCCGCTTAGAGGTTCTCAATCTAAACATTGTCTGTAGGAAATGTGGAAAAGGGCTGTTGTTGCCATAGCAACATACTCGGCATTTGCTCTGGGCATAGATTAACTGCAATTTGAACTCGTGAGAGACTCCTAAATTGATAGTGCAGTTTGTTTAGGCGATTTTTACAGCTAGCTAGTTCTTTCACATGCTGATATTGACCTTGGTATTACTGTGTGTAGATACGTAGCTAGCCAGTCAGCCCAGAGAGAGCATTGCGTTGTGGATTTTGTAGTTGACTTGAGCTGCAACACATTTCCAAAACGATTTTCACATATTGCTACCAACCTTGGGTGCGTTCGTAAATTCACTCTGGCTATCTACTCCGATTTCAGAGCACTCTCGTCTGAGTGTGCCAGAGCACAGAATAACTGATGAATTTACGAACGCTCAACACCTGTTGAATATGGCCGGTGTCAGTAAACGCCGGCAAAAAAGCGTAATTAAATTATTGCTAGCAGCACAGTTAGTCACCAACGCTCTGGATAACATGAAAACAGCCTTAACCAGCTCTGCTAGGGTGAGTAAAATGGTCAGAGTGAGGTGTTTGTATCTGGAAGTAGCTAGCAAGCTAGCCAACGTTAGCCAGTTAGCTTGGGTGCTTGACTGCTGTTGTGAGGTCAACGCTCGGATTGTGAGGTCAATACTCAGAGAGCGAAATGCTCTGAATTTACGAACGGACAATCTGACAACGCTCTAAATTTACGAACACCCAGAATGCACTCTGAGCACTCTGGCACTCCAGAGTGAATGTACGAATGCACCCCTTGTTATAACGACAAAAAATATTGTTTTCACATATTAGTGTTATTTAACACTGTTAATCATAGGAATTAATGGTTTGGGGTGGATTATCCCTTTACAGTGCATTCGGAAAGTATTCAGACCTTATCTTTCACATTTTGTTACATTACAGCCTTATTCTAAAATTGATTAAATTACTTTTTTTTTCATCAATCTACACACATTACCCCATAATGACAAAGCAAAAACGTGTTTTTATAATTTTTTGCAAATCTATAAAAATTATAAAACCGAAATACCTTATTTACATAAGTATTCAGACCCTTTGCTATGGGACTCGAAATTGAGCTCAGGTGCATCCTGTTTCTATTGCTCATCCTTGAGATGTTTCTACAACTTGATTGGAATCCACCTGTGGTAAATTCAATTGATTGGACATGATTTGGAAAGGCACACACCTGTCTATATAAGGTCCCACAGTTGACAGTGCATGTCAGAGCAAAAATCAAGCCATGAGGTCGAAGGAATTGTCCATAGAGCTCTGAGACAGGATTATGTCGAGGAACAGATATGGGGAAGGGTACCAAAACATTTCTGCAGCATTGAAGGTCTTCTTAAATGGAAGAAGTTTGGAACCACCAAGACTCTTCCTAGAGCTGGCCGCCCGGCCAAACTGAGTAATCGGGGGAGAAGGGCCTTGGTAAGGGAAGTAACCTCTGTGGAGATGAGGGAACCTTCCAGAAGGACAACCATCTCTGCAGCACTCCACCAATCAGGCCTTTATGGTAGAGTGGCCAGATGGAAGCCACTCCTCAGTAAAAGGCACATGACAGCCCGCTTGGAGTTTGCCAAAAGGACTCTCAGACCATGAGAAACAAGATTCTCTGGTCTGATGAAACCAAGATTGAACTCTTTGGCCTGAATGCCAAGCGTCACATCTGGAGGAAACCTGGCACCATCCCTACGGTGAAGCATGGTGGTGGCAGCATCATGCTGTGGGGATGTTTTTAAGCGGCAGGGACTGGGAGACTAGTCAGGATCGAGGGAAAGATAAATGGAGCAAAGTACAGAGAGATCCTTGATGAAAACCTGCTCCAGAGCGCTCAGGACCTCAGACTGGGGTGAAGGTTCACCTTCCAACAGGACAACGACCCTAAGCACACAGCCAAGACAACGCAGGATTGGCTTCGGGACAAGTCTCTGAATGTCCTTTAGTGGCCCAGCCAGAGCCCGGACTTGAACCTGATCGAACATCTCTGGAGAGACCTGAAAATAGCTGTGCAGCTACGCTCCCCATCCAACCTGACAGAGCTTGAGAGGATCTGCAGAGAAGAATGGGAGAAACCCCCAAAATACAGGTATGCCAAGCTTGTAGCGTCGTACCCAAGAAGACTCAAGGCTGTAGTCGCTGCCAAAGGTGCTTCAACAAAATGTGGAAAAGGTCAAGGGGTCGGAATACTTCCATGATTACATGAAAATAATTTTATAGTTACAGTAACCTCAATGTGGCTATGGATGTGTTACTCATTTTAAGGTTGAATGTTACATTAGTTTGTAAGATTGAATTGTGTTTGGTTGACAACCCAACCAAATACTGTATCAACATTTAAAGGAGATGTATCTACTGGCTTGGATAGTTCCATTTGAGCCACTGGCTTAATCCCATTCTTTAACTTGGAGATGTGAATCCGACAATTTCTTTTTTTTGACTTGTTGACAAGTTTATAGGCTTTTTATTTTAAATGTGATTTTGAATTGTTTGGTTGTCAACGCAACCAAATATCAACATTTGAAGGAGATGTATCCTCTGCTTGGATAGTTCCATCTGTGCCACTGATTAGTTTTAACTCCAGTTTGTCTACAAGTTAATGAATGTAAAAGTTAAAAGAGTAAGACTAAATCAAATCAAACTTTAAATAAAGTTTGATTTGATTTAGTCCTATTCTTTCACTTAGATTTTTGGTTGAGATGGAGATGTGAATCAACGTATAAATTATTAATTTGTAGACAAACAGGAATTAAAGCCACTAAGTCAGTGGCACCGATGTAACTGTCCAAACAGAAGATATATCTCCTTGAAATGTTGATATTTAGTTGCGTTGACAACCAAACACAATTCAATATCATTACATTTTTAAATCAACCAGAGCTTGAAACCCTAGGCCTATTCTATTGTCTATTTTTAGTTGAATTCTGAGGTGAATTGAAACAATGGCTGTTGATGACTTTGCAAATGCTATAAAGGCCTAAATGGCATCATTGATGATATATGAGTGATAAAGTATGGTCACATTTAATTTGCTCTGATAAACCTACCCTTTGGAATGACTTCGATATCAACAGTGAATCTACAGTACACTGAACAAAAATATAAATGCAACATGTAAAGTCTTGGTTTCATGAGATGGAATAAAAGATCCCAGAAATGTTCCATATGCACAAAAAGCTTATTTTGCTCAAATGTATTTACTTCCCTGTTAGTGAGCATTTCTCCATTGCCAAGATAATCCATCCACCTGACAGGTGTGGCATATCAAGAAGCTGATTAAACAGCATGATCATTACACAGGTGCACCTTGTGCTGGAGACCATAAAAGGCCACTCTAAAATGTAGTTTTGTCACACAACACAATTCCACAGATGTCTCAAGTTTTGAGGGGGTGTGCAATTGGCATGCTGACTGCAGGAATGTCCACCAACGCCTCCAACGTTGTTTTAGAGAATTTGACAGCACATCCAACTGGCCTCACAACCACACACCACGTGTAACCACGCCAGCCCAGGACCTCCACATCCGGCTTCTTCACCTGCGGGATCGTCTGAGACCAGCCACCCGGACAGCTGATGAAACTGGGTTTGCACAATCAAAGAATTTCTGCACAAACTGTCTGAAACCGTCTCAGGGAAGCTCATCTGCGTGCTCATCGTCCTCACCAGAATCTTGACCTGACTGCAGTTCGGCATCGTAACCGACTTTAGTGGGCAAATGCTCACCTTCGATGGCCACTGGCACACTGGAGAAGTGTGCTCGTCATGGATGAATCCCGGTTTCAACTATAACAGTCAGATTGTAGACGATTGTATGGCGTTGTGTGGGTGAGCGGTTTGCTGATGTCAACATTGTGAACAGAGTTTCCCCATGGTGGGGTTATGGTAAGGGCAGGCATAAGCTACGGACAACTAACACAATTTCATTTTATTGTGATGAGATCCTGAGGCCCATTGTCGTGCCATTCATCCGCAGCCATCACCTCATGTTTCAGCATGATAATACACGGCCCCATGTTGCAAGGATCTGTACACAATTCATGGAAGCTGAAAATGTCCCAGTTCTTCCATGGCCTGCATACTCACTAGACATCACTCATTGAGCATGTTTGGGATGCTCTGGATCGACGTGCACGGCAGCGTGTTCCAGTTCCCGCCAATATCCAGCAACTTCGCACAGCCATTGAAGAAGAGTGGGACAACATTCCACAGGCCACAATCAACAGCCTTATCAACTCTATGCGAAGGAGATGTCGCGCTGCATGAGGCAAATGGTCACACCAGATTCGGACTAGTTTTCTGATCCATGCCCCTACCTGTGACCAACATATGCATACCTGTATTCCCAGTCATGTGAAATCCATAGATTAGGGCCTAATGAATTTGTTTCTATTGATTTTATTTCCTTATTTGAACTGTAACTCTGTAAAATCTTTGAAATTGTTGCATTTTACATTTTTCGTCAGTATATTTAGTTAAGTGGAGATCTTTCGACAATCATTCTCACGATAGCACATTGGTAATCATTAGTGACACAGCTAAGCTGGGAAAGATTAAAACCCTGGATGGGAGACCAAAGGGTAGCTGTAGATAGATCAGTTCTCCAGTAGGAGGTGCTGTCCAGCATATTGTATTTTGTTTCTGATAGTGGATATAATGTTAAAGAGCTGACTTTGTTTTAAAGATACAAATTCAACCTATTTTATACAAGATTTGTCTATGTTGAAATTTGGTTACCATGATGACACAATCCTGTGGTTGAAATTTCACCCTCAAAACAGTTTACGTTGATAACTTTTTTTCAAATCCAATGTAGATTCCACATCCACATTGACAAATTATGTTGAAACATTGATTCAACCAGTTTGTGTCCAGTGGGAGGTTCTCTTGCATGATGTGAGTTGCCCTGACCTCTCCTGTTAACTACTCATTTTTTCTCAGCTTGGTGATGAGGACTGTATCTTGCCCAGTAAGCTTCAGGCTGCACTGCAGCAGATCCTGGAGGAGAGAGGGCAGATACTGCGGCAAGACGGAGACTGCACAGGTTTGCACAGCCAGCTATTACTATATATCTGCCTTAAATGGCCTTGTCTCCCTGTCCATGTTGGATAATTTCTTAAAGCATTCTTCACTCACCTCTCCATTTTGACACCATCTACTTTTCTAACTGACTATCCCCCTCCCTACCATCTGTCCCTGCAGGCCAGCAGTGTGAGCTGAGCTCCCTGGTGTCGGAGGCCTTTGTGCATTTCTTCGTGGAGCTGGTGGGCCATTACTCCCTCCACATGGGTGCCAGCGGGGCCCGGGTGCTGCAGAGGGAGAGCTTCTGTAAGTCCCACCCCTCCCGTGGGGCCCGCCAGTTCCTGCAGCTCTTCATGGACACACAGATGTTCTCCGGCTTCATCCACGACAAGGAGTTGCGCAAAGGAGGGGGCAAAGGTCAGGGAGTGGCCTATCAGTGGCCCTGTTGTTGGAATACTTTGAGAATGCATTCTTCTTTCCTCTAAGTAATCACCTCTTACCTAAATGTATTTCCTTGTGGACCTTGTACTAAGCTCTTTTCTCCCACAGGGCTTTTTGAAGTTAGAGCTGCAGAATATTTGGCCTCAAACCCTGAGTCTGAATCTAGCGGATTCCTCAAGGGACTCAAGGGAATTGGTTAGTAGTGCTCCATTCATAACTTTCAATTAAACAAATATGACCTTTACTGTCAGAGTTAATTAATTGTGTCAATTTTATTTTCAGGGATGAAATTCCTACAGAAGAAGTGACAATGTCAGCAGTCTGGTTGAAAATGCTTCTGTAAGAGAGGATGAGAATCATCCGCCGGATTGGCCGAGACATGTGCTATGACGTTACAGCTATATAGATATGTACATGACTCGACCAGGACATAATGGTGTTGGGCACAGAGATCCACAGTCCTAGATAGAGGGCTCTCTGTTTGAGACAGGACCAGTCTCTTCGTATTGCCCTGAATGCACTCCAAGCCGGAGTGAAGTGCAATTGTAATTGGAGGAAAACTGGAAATGTGCATTTATGCGCAAACAACTTTTAAGATGTCAGAGGAAAGGCAGGAGCAAACACTATGTACTTGTGAAATCTACACAAACCATTTCAGCTACAAAACTCGGTATTAACTTAAGCAGATGTCGTGCCATCATAAACTAACCCACGCGTTTTTGTGTTTTTGCTAGTCATTTTTTAATGTTTGTTTTAGCCAAGTCTTTTGAGTGTTTGGTCTCCATATTATGGATATAGATGTTATTTTTAAGTTTAGTTTTGAACTCGTGTCTAGTTGGAAATGAATAAGGAAGGCTACTCTTGATACCCTTCAGCACTCTGCTACAGAACAATGTAAGAATAATTATTTTTATTATGTGCATGATTGTTACTTTAAATATTTTAAGTTTGTTTTTAAATTGAGGTTAATGTATGTTGTCCCTGACATTTTGTTGGCCTTGACAAAACATCCAAGTAATGTTTGGATCATTAGGATAATGCATTACAATTCACATTTTGAATGTTGTATAGGGCATTCTGTAACTAAATATTTTGTTTACAATGTTTTAGCTACTTTTATGCATTGTTTTGCATTGTGAACTTAAATTGAGATTGTATGAGTCTGTTTGGATACCCTTCCCTCAGTCATTTGATAGGATGGGTGAAAGCACATATTGAACTAGACCACCTTGACTAAGGATGTGATTTTAAATGATCAGAACTGGGTCTTAATCTCATGTATCCAACATTCCAATGCACAACGTTTGATAAAAACGTTTTTGATGTTCCCATGTGGGTTTAGAAAGTCATAACTAGAGACCAGAAATTAACTTGTCACACCGCCTTCCTATTGTGGTGTTGCTACCATATAAAAGATTGACTGGAGTTGCATACTTAGTGCCTTCAGGAAGTATTCACACCCCTTGACATTTTCCACATTTTGTTGTGTTACAGCCTGAATTTAAAATGGATTAAACAAAGGGTTATTTTGTCAATGGCCTACACACAATACCCCATAATGTGGAAATATGTTTTTTGAATTTTTTTACAACTTGATGAAAAGCTGGAAATTTCAATAAGTATTCAACCCCTTTGTTATGGCAGGCCTATTAAGTTCACATAAAATGGTATTTGTCATGCGCGCTGAATACAACAGGTGTAAACCTTACCGTGAAATGCTTACTTACAAGCCCATAACCAACAATGCAGAGTTTTTTATTTATTTTAAGTAACAAAATATTTGCAAAAAAAAATGTGTACTATATTCAGTACCAGTCAAAAGTTTGGACACACCTACTCATTCAAGGGTTTTTCTTTATTTTGACTATTTTCTACATTGTAGAATAATAGTGAAGACATCAAAACTATGAAATAACACATATGGAATCATGTAGTAACCAGAAAAGTGTTAAACAAATCAAAATATATTTTATGTTTGAGATTCTTCAAATAGCCACCCTTTGCCTTGATGACAGCTTTGCACACTATTGGCATTCTCTCAACCAGCTTCACCTGGAATGCTTTTCCAACAGTCTTGAAGGAGTTCCCACATAAACTGAGCACTTGTTGGCTGCTTTTCCTTCACTCTGCCGTCCGACTTATCCCAAACCATCTCAATTGGGTTGAGGATAGGGTGATTGTGGAGGCCAGGTCATCTGATGCAGCACTCCATCATTCTCCTTCTTGGTAAAATAGCCCTTACACAGCCTGGAGGTGTGTTGGGTCATTGTCCTGTTGAAAAACAAATAATAGTCCCACTAACCCCAAACCAGATGGGATGGCGTATCGCTGCAGAATGCTGTGGTAGCCATGCTGGTTAAGTGTTCCTTGAATTCTAAACAAATCACAGACCGTGTCACCAGCAAAGCACCCCCACACCATAACACCTCCTCCTCCATGCGTTACGATGGGAACTACACATGTGGAGATCATCCATTCACCCACACCGCGTCTCACAAAGATACGGCTGTTGGAACCAAAAATCTTCAATTTGGACTCCAGACCAAAGGACACATTTCCACCGGTCTAATGTCCATTGCTTGTGTTTCTTGACCCAAGCAGGTCTCTTCTTCTTATTGGTGTCCTTTAGTAGTGGTTTCTTTGCAGCAATTTGACCATGAAGGCCTGATTCACACAGTCCCCTCTGAACAGTTGATGTTGAGATGTCTGTTACTTGAACTCTGTGAAGCATTTATTTGGGCTGCAATTTCTGAGGCTGGTAACTCTAATGAACTTATCCTATGCAGCAGAGGTAACTATGGGCCTTCCATTCCTGTGGCGGTCCTTGCGCTTGATGGTTTTTGCGACTGCATTTCAAAGTTATTGAAATGTTCTGTATTGACTGACCTTCATGTCTTGTAATGATGGACTGTCGTTTCTCTTTGCTTATTTGAGCTGTTCTTGACATAATATGGACTTGGTCTTTTACCAAATAGGGCTTTCTTCTGTATACCCCCCTACCTTGTCACAACAACTGATTAGCTCAAACACATTAAGAAGGAAATAAATTCCACGAATTAACTTTTAAGAAGGCACACCTGTTAATTGAAATGCATTCCAGGTGACTACCTCATGAAGCTGGTTGAGAGAATGCCAAGAGTGTGCAAAGCTGTCATCAAGGCAAAGGGTGGCTATTTGAAGAATATAAAATATAGTTTGATTTGTTTTACACTTTTTTTGGTTACTACATGATTCCATATGTGTTATTTCATAGTTTTGATGTCTTCACTATTATTCTACAATGTAAAAAATAGTAAAAATAAAGAAAAACCCTTGAATGAGTAGGTGTGTCCAAACTTTTGTAGTGTATATTATTCCTTTTTTAAGTAACACAAAATAACAAGAACGAGGCCATATATGGGGGTACCGAGTCAATGTGCGGGGGTACAGATTAGTCAAGGTAATTGAGGTAATATGTTCAGGAGGAAAAGTTTGCTTAACAAGTCACATAATAAGTTGCATGGACTCACTCTGTGTGCAATACGTGTTTAATATGATTTTTGCATGACTACCTCATTTCTGTACCCCACACATACAATTAATGATCTTTACGGTCCCTCAGTCGAGCAGTGAATTTCAAACACAGATTCAACCACAAAGACCAGGGAGGTTTTCCAATGCCTCGCAAAGAAGGGCACCTAGTGGTAGATGGGTACAAATAAAGAAAGCAGACACTGAATATCCCTTTGAGCATGGTGAAGTTATTAATTACACTTCGGATGGTGTATCAGTACACCCAGTCACTACAAAGATACAGGCGTCCTTCCTAACTCAGTTGCCGGAGAGGAAAGAAACAGCTCAGTGATTTCACCATGAGGCCAATGGTGTCTTTAAAAACAGTTACAGAGTTTAATGGCTGTGATAGGAGAAAACTGAGGATGAATCAACAACATTCTAGTTGCTCCACAATACTTACCTAATTGAAAGGGAGAAAAGAAGGAAGCCTGTACAGAATAAAAACATTCAAAAACATGCATCCTGTCAGCAACAAGGCACTAAAGTAATACTGCAAAAAATGTGGCAAAGCAATTCACTTTTTGTCCTGAATACAAAGCGTTATGTTTGGGGCAAATCCAATACAACACATTACTGAGTACCACTCTCCATATTTTCAAGCATAGTGGGGGCTGCATCATGTTATTGTCAGTAGGTGCTGTAGGTGGGTGTGGTGCTGGAATCAGGCGCAGGACGCAGAAAATAAGTCCAAAAGACTTTAGTGCAGGCACAAACAAATACACGAGCCAAAAGCCCTGAGGCGAGAAACTCCGCACGCAGGCGTAAACAAAAGGGCGCACTAAACATGTGCGATAAATACTCTCCTTAACAGAGGAGGAAAGCTACAAAGAGCAAACGGTATACTGTAGAGCACAAACACGACAGCGAAACAATCACACACAACACCTGACAAACACAACGAGAACTTATAGGACACTAATGACGCTAAACGACAACAGGTGTACAATACCAGACAAGACCAAACGAACATAGAAACATACAACGGTGGCAGCTAGTATTCCGGAGACGACGAACGCCGAAGCCTGCCCGAGCAAGGAAGAGAGGCAGCCTCGGCCGAAACCGTGACAGTTATGAGTATGCATGTAATCGTTAAGGACTGGGGAGTTTTTCAGGATAATAAAGAAATGGAATGGAGCTAAACACAGGCAAAATCCTAGAGGAAAACCTGGTTCAGTCTGCTTTCCACCAGACACTGGGAGATTAATTCACCTTTCAGCAGGACAATAACCTAAAACACAAGGCCAAATCTACACTGGAGTTGCTTACTAAGAAGACCGTGAATGTTCCTGAGTGGCTGAGTTAGAGTTTAGACTTAAATCTACGGCAAGATCTGAAAATGGTTGTCTAGCAATGATCAAGAACCAATTTGACATATTGAAGAATTTTGAAAAGAATAATGGGCAAATGTTGCACAATCTAGGTGTGGAAAGCTCTTAGAGACTTACACAGAAAGACTCACAGCCGTAATCGCTGCCAAAGGTGTTTCTACAAAGTATTGACTCAGGTGTGAATACTTACGTAAATTAGATATTTCTGTATTTAATTCTCAATAAACTTGCTAAACTTTCTAAAAACATGTTCTCCTTTTGTCTTTCTGAGGTATTGTGTGAGATTTTTTTTATTTAATCCATTTTGAATTTAGGCTGTAACAAAATTTGGAATAAGTGAAGGTGTATGAAAACTTTCTGAAGGCACTGTAAAATGTGCATCTCAACAGATACAATTTTGAACTATTGTACGTTTTTTTTGTTATGTTTTTATAAACGTGAAATGTCCACCCTACATGTCAAAATTAATGTGAAATGTGAGTTTGGTATTCATTCATGACTCCACTACTTCAACAAGTTTGTCTCCCTGTGTCCGGTCAGGTAAGTTATGTATTTTCTGTCCTAATGGCATGCCATTTTTGTGGTAATCAGTCATAGGGACCTAAGCTATTACATGATTAACACCAAATTCAGGATGCAAATGGGATATGTTGAAAGATATAGTATTAGCTATGTTACATAATTATGAAATACTCCTGAGTGGCGCAGTGGTCTAAGGCACTGCATCGCAGTGCTAACTGTGCCACTAGAGATCCTGGTTCGAATCCAGGCCTCTGTCACAGCCGGCCGCGACCGGGAGACTCATGGGCGGCGCGCAATTGGCCCAGCGTCGTCTAGGGTAGGGGAGGGAATGGCCGGCAGGGATGTAGCTCAGTTGATAGAGCATGGCGTTTGCAACGCCAGGGTTGTGGGTTCAATTCCCACGGGGGGCCAGTATAAAAAAAATATGTATTCACTAACTGTAAGTCGCTCTGGATAAGAGCGTCTGCTAAATGACTAAAATGTAAAATGTAAATGTAAATAGTAATGAGTTAAGAATCACTCCAGGGCGTAAGGGGCGCTATACAACCAAAGGCCATAAGACACCAAAGAAAAATACGTTTAGCTTCCGGGAAGACGGCAGGAGAGACCGGCTGCGTTGTTTTGCTGCCGAGACAACTAGCTAGCTATCCAGCGGTGCTAGCAAACAAACAAACAACTAAACTGAATATGGCTGGAACTTCATCAGTAGCTGGTGAAGTATTTGTCGATGCCCTACCGTATTTTGACCAGGGTTATGATGCAGCCGGCGTCAGAGAGGCGGTAAGTATCTACTCTATACATAGCTACCAGTTGCTAACTAGCTAGCATCAGACATGAGCTAGCTGAGAAACGCTCAACTCCGTTCTCTTAAAGCCATTCATAATACACAATATAGAAAAACAGAGTATACAACGGAGTATACAAACAGTCAGGGGAACCCAGAGAAATGATAAAGACCATTATAGCAAGTTTTGATTGCTTTTTTGTTATGAGAAGAAAATATTTATATATTGTTCAATTTCATTCGCAAAAATAGTTTTCCAACTCAAATTTACATTTATGAATATAGAATTTATCTAAAATAACAGGTTGATTTAAGAAGAAAGGCTTTGCATAGTCTTTGCTATACTTTGTAAAACCTAATCACATTTTCAGTATCGCGTGTGTTCTGGTAAGGAAACTGAGTCGGATGCACTCATGCACAGGTAGACGATAGCAACAAATCATTACAAGCAAACTGTTTTGAAGCACTTATTAAATCTTCCATAATCAAAATGATACCAAATCGTTTGTTTCATTTTCGTGTATTATAAAAAAATCAGTAGCCTTCATTAGCCTAATGGGGTGCTGTTCAGCAAATGTTAAAGCAAGATGTGTTTACAGTAATGACATACAAACACCATAGTTTGATCTAAGTGAGCTATAATTTTTTTTTTGTATTTCATTAAAGAAAGATTATACATTTAAAGTGTTAATTACATTGTATTGGTCTATCCCCACATTCTTTATCATTTTTAAAAAGTAGTTATATTACAGTGAACTTCGACCCCTATACTTGTTTTTTTGTTTGTTGATGTGCTACTAGTAGATCATTAGTCCAGTGTGATGACCATTGCATACCGTAAGATGCCCATATTATGCCATCTTAAAATATGGGGTAAAATAATTGGTTGTTATACACAGTGTACAAAACATTAGGACCACCTTCCTAATATTGAGTTGCACCCCCTTTTGCCCTCAGAACAGCCTCAATTCGTTGGGGCATGGACTACAAGGTGTCGAAAGCGTTCCACAGGGATGCTTGCCCGTGTTGACCCCAATGCTTCCCACAGTTGTCAAGTTGGCTGAATGTCCTTTGGGTGGTGGACCATTCTTGATACACACAGGAAGCTGTTGATTGTGGAAAACCCAGCAGCGTTGCTGTTCTTGACAGACTCCAACCAGTGCGCCTGGCACCTACTACTACTACCCTGTTCAAAGGCACTTAACTTTTGTCTTGCCCATTCACCCTCTGAATGGCACACATACACAATCCATGTCTCAAGGCTTAAAAATCATTTATTTAACATGTCTCCACCCCTTCATCTACACTGATTGAAGTGAATTTAATAGGTGACATCAATAAGGGATCATAGCTTTCACCTGGTTAGTCTGTCATGGAAAGAGCAGGTGTTCCTAATTTTTTGTGCACTCTGTGTATATTACAGTGAACTTTGAGGGTGCCCATATTATGCCAGCTTAAAGATGTTTTGTGACTTGTGCCACTAGTAGATTAATAATCCATTGCAAAGCATAACATGCCCATATTAAGCCAGCTACAATATTGGAACAATACTTGCTTGCTGTATATTACATTTAAACTTTCAGGAACCTACAGTTGATGTCTGAAGTTTCATACACCTTAGCCAAAGACATTTAAACTCAGTTTTTCACAATTCCTGACATTAAATCCTAGTAAAGATTCCCCGTCTTAGGTCAGTTAGGATCACCACTTTATTTTAAGAATGTGAAATGTCAGAATAATAGTAGTGATTTTATTTCAGCTTTTATTTCTTTCATCACATTCCCAGTGGGTCAGAAGTTTACATACACTCAATTAGTATTTGGTAGCATTGCCTTTAAATTGTTTAATTTGCGTCAAATGTTTCAGGTAGCCTTCCACAAGCTTCCCACAATAAGTTGGGTGACTTTTGGCCCATTCCTCCTGACAGAGCTGATGTAACTGAGTCAGGTTTGTAGGCCTCCTTGCTCGCACATGCTTTTTCAGTTCTGCCCACAAATTGTCTATAGGATTGAGGTCAGGGCTTTATGATGGCCACTCCAATACCTTGACTTTGTTGTCCTTAAGCCATTTTGCCACAACTTTGGAAGTATGCTTGGGGTCATTGTCCATTTGGAAGACCCATTTTGACCAAGCTTTAACATCCTGACTGATGTCTTGAGATGTTGCTTCAATATATCCACATAATTTTCCTTCCTCATGATGCCATCTATTTTGTGAAGTGCACCAGTCCCTCCTGCAGCAAAGCACCCCCACAGCATGATGCTGCCACCCCCGTGCTTCACGGTTGGGATGGTGTTCTTCGGCTTAATCTACCCCCTTTTTCCTCCAAACATAACGATGGTCATTATGGCCAAACAGTTCTATTTTTGTTTCATCAGACCAGAGGACATTTCTCCAAAAAGTACGATCTTTGTCCCCATGCGCAGTTGCAAACCGTAGTCTGGCTCTTTTTTATGGCGGTTTTGGAGCAGTGGCTTCTTCCTTGCTGAGCGGCCTTTCAGGTTATGTCGATATAGGACTAGTTTTACTGTTGATATAGATACGTTTGTACCCGTTTCCTCCAGCTTCTTCACATGGTCCTTTGCTGTTGTTCTGGGATTGATTTGCACTTTTCACACCATCTCTAGGAGACAGAACGCGTCTCCTTCCAGAGCGGTATGACGGCTGCGTGGTCCCATGGTGTTTATACTTGCGTACTATTTGTACAGATGAACGTGGTACCTTCAGGCGTTTGGAAATTGCTCCCAAGGATGAACCAGACTTGTGGAGGTCTACAATTAATTTTTCTGAGGTCTTGGCTGATTTTCCCATGATGTCAAGCAAAGAGGCACTGAGTTTGAAGGTAGGCCTTGAAATACATCTACAGGTACACCACTAATTGACTCAAATGATGTCAATTAGCCTATCAGAAGCTTCTAAAGCCATGACACATTTTCTGGAATTTTCCAAGCTGTTTAAAGGCACAGTCAACTTAGTGTATGTAAACTTCTGACCCACTGGAATTGTGATACAGTGAATTATAAATGAAATAATCTGTCTGGAAACAATTGTTGGAAACATTACTTGTCATGCACAAAGTAGATGTCCTAACCGACTTGCCAAAACTATAGTTTGTTAACAATACATTTGTTGAGTGGTTGAAAAACGAGTTTTAATTACTCCAACCTAAGTGTGTGTAAACTTCTGACTTCAACTGTAATTCAATTTTAACCAGCGGTTGGAACAGGTTCAGGGAACAGAACAGAAAACCAGATAGATTTGAGGAACAGAACCCGAGAACGAAAGTAATCTAGACTGTTCTGAACAGAACTGTTATTTTAAAAAGCATGGGAACTGGCTAATAACGTTATTTTACGTTCCGGGCATTTTTTTCAAGTCCCACAAAAAAACGCAGCCAGGCGCCTATGCAAAGCCCTCACTGTCACTCAAACGTATTCCAGTGTCTGCCTGCCAGCTGAAAATCTTTGGCTGTGTGTGTGTGTAGGCTACCTACCCCGCCCCTCTCCCTCCAAAGCATAGTCTACTGTAGCTACTGACGTTACAGGTGTGATTTTGAAATTGGGGAGGGAGATTTTTAGAGAAGAATGGATTAACGTTTTCAATGCTAATTAAAGGATACTAGGCCCACACAGATCATATATGAAATTAATAGCGATTCTATGTAATTCTATTATTACACTTAGGCTATAAAAAAATAAGTGTGTGCGCGCGCTTGGGTGTCCTGTTCCGGTAAAAAATGTAATCTACTTTCACCACTGGTTAGGTTTAGGGTAGGGATGTTCCAAGGATCCCGGATAGCACTGGCGGATTCCATTGGAGAACGGAGTTGAGCGTTCCTCATCTAGCCTGCCAGCTGAAAATCTTTGCCAGTGTGCATGTGTAGGCAATCTGCCCCTCCGAAGGTTAGGCTATTGTAGCCTACTGACGTTACAAGCGTGATTCAGAAATTAGGGAGAGATTTTTAATTAACTTTTTCAATGCTAGTTACGAATACTATAGTTATCACGTTTCACATTGGATTTATTAACTACAAAAAGGTAAGACGTGTTTTTAATTCTGGTGCCGCTCTGCACACACAAGCTTGTTATCTCAGGCAACGTTAAGCCAACTCTCGGAAGTTCAAAGATTTGTCAAAGCCGCTCCTCCGTAGGTATAATTCTGTTGGCCTAATTCAGATAATACATGTCGTAACAAGATGCCCAGCGCGTCAAGCCAAACTTCCTCCTCCATCCTCTCTTGCTCTCTTCCCATCCGCAAAATTTCTGTCACATCTCGTGCCCTACACTTGTCTGTCCATCGCGCATGTAAACAACTATAGCTTGCCCGCACCATAGCAAGCGGATCTATCCGCACCGATTGGTGAAGTAATTTAATGTCGAGCTAATGTAAAAAAAAAAAAATGATTTCAGAGGTTTAGAAAGGAAAGATATAAACTGGTACTTTTGGGGGGGTTCAAACCGGTTCAGAACTTTATTTTGTAGGTCAGAACAGTGGAACTGAACGAAAAAAAATAATGGTTCAGAACAAACTATTGGAAAATAATTTACGTTCCAACCCCTGCTTTTAGGTCACCTCAGTTACAAGTCTAGCTAGTCTACTGTACTAGTATGCTGTCTGTTAATCTGTTAAATGATGTAAATGTATTAATTTCCATACACAGGCTGCAGCCTTGGTAGAGGAGGAGACTCGCCGATACAGACCCACCAAGAACTACCTCAGTTATATGCCAACACCTGATTTCACTACATTTGAAGTAAGTACCACATACACAGTTCCTCATGCAATAAAAAAAGGCATAAATTAATATGTACACTATAATGCCGTGCCATATGGCTGGCTTTTGACTGACTCATCACTGTCAACTGTGTAATCTACACTGCTCTACAATGACATTATGTGAAGCAAATACTAATGCTTATATCACCCATCAGACTGAAATCATGAGGAATGAGTTTGAGAGGCTAGCAGCCCGGCAGCCCCTTGAACTTCTCAGCATGAAGAGGTAAACCCAGTCTACTCTTTTGCTCAGAGCAAGAACAGTCATGTTAAAAAAAGCTTGCTAACTTTCAATCCCCCATTCAGTTCTAACTTGATGCATTCTCAGAGTGTACACAACTGTTTCTGTTTCACCTGTGCAGATATGAGCTTCCAGCTCCATCGTCAGGGCAGAAGAATGACATCACTGCATGGCAGGACTGTGTGAACAACTCCATGGCTCAGCTGGAGCATCAAGCAGTGCGCATTGAGAACCTGGAACTCATGGCACACTACGGCACCAATGCATGGAAGGTCTACAATGAGTGAGTCAGTGGCTGCTGCTTGTGCCCAGTAGAGCTCTTCATTTATTTTTGTTTCCAAGAAAGAGTCAGGGGGGACAACCAAACTGATTTGAATTAAGCTAACAAATGGGGTTTGATAGTGATTTAATTTGATACTATAGGAGATCAGTCTTTTAGTCTTTTTACTTGTCAGTTTAGTCCTTTTTCAAATCAAATCATATTGTATTTGTCACATGTGCCGAATACAAACCTTACAGTGAAATGCTTACTTACAAGCACTTAACCAACAATGCAGTTTTAAGAAGAAAAAGTGTTAAGTAAAAAATAGATAACTAAAAAATAAAAATAACGAATAATTAAAGAGCAGCAGTAAAATAACAGTAGCGAGGCTATATACAGGGGGTACCGGTATAGAGTCAATGTGCGGGGGCACAGGTTAGTAGGTAGAGTTAGTGACTATACATAGATAATAAACAGAGAGTAGCAGCAGCGTAAAAGAGGGGGTGGGGGGGGGGGGGAACAATGCAAATAGTCCGGGTAGCCATTTGATTAGCTGTTCAGGAGTCTTATGGCTTGGTGGTAGAAGCTGTTAAGAAGCCTTTTGGACCTACACTTGGCGCTCCGGTACTGCTTGCCGTGTGGTAGCAGAGAGAACAGTCTATGTATAACTAATGATGCAGTCTACCAAAGTCACTTGATTTCTTAACATATAGACAATATATATTTTTACACATGCTTGTCCTGAAGGGTAACGTATAGGTTCACAGGAATTTTGACGTTGCCTTCATCTTTGTCATTATTTCCACTCCACAGTAACCTGGCCTTTATGATTGAATTGGCTCAAAAAGAACTACAGAAATGTAGGTAAGTAAATGGTGTGAAAATGTTGCGTTACAATTTCCAGGTCGTGCATCACATTCCTCATGGTTAGCTTGTTTAGTAATAGTTTTGGACTGTGACACAAACTGTGTCAACAAGCTTCTGCCTATACAGTATATATTTTTAACAGCCTTTTCTGTTGTGTGTGTCATTTATACAGAAAGCAGATTCAGGACTTGAACTGGCAACGGAAGAATGATCAGCTTGCAGGCGGGGCCAAGCTGAGAGAGCTGGAGTCAAAGTCAGTTCTGTGAATGTTGTATTTTTCATTACTGTTCTCTCAAATGTGGTATGATTTCTAAACCCTTGCCATCTCTCTTGTAACAGTTGGGTGTCCCTCGTAAGTAAAAACTATGAGATTGAACGTGCCATCGTCCAGTTGGAGAATGAAGTTGGACAGCGCAAACAGCAGCATGGTGACGAGAACAAGGAAAACATTCGACAGGACTTCTAGAACCAGAACCTTGTACAAGAGACGTTCTACAAAAAAGGAAATGTTGAGCTTGCAGCTGAGAACAACGAAAACTAATGTGTAAAGAACAGGACTGGCACTCCAAACTTTAAGAACCTACTTGCCTTGGCTGCACAGCTTCTTATGAGAGAAAGTCTTTACATTAGTCTGACAGTGACCATTGAAAAACTATTGGCCCTGTGTAGAGCATATTCAGTGTACCTAGAGATCACTTCAGAGGTGAACTGTGAATTTTGGTGTATTTAAAATAAAAAAATAAAAAGATTGTCAATTTAAGTTCTAAAATGAGGTAGAGTTAAGAATAACTAATGATGCAGTCTACCAAAGTCACTTGATTTCTTAACATATAGACAAGTACCTGTGCACAAAAACATGCTAGCATGTGTTTAAGTGCATGTTATGGTGAAGAAAATAATTTCCAAACTGATCAACTTCAACATAGCAAAGTTGTTTGAATTTTTTACTACTTTGTGATACAAAAGTTTTTGTGCATGTAGGCAATTATTATTATTTTTACACTATTATAATAAATGTGTCGAGACATTGTTTAAAGATTGGTTATGTGTCTACTGCCTTAACAGATACGCCCTTGTTCTTGCCTGTAAATAGATCTCCCTATCAGTGAATATGAAATATTGTGAAATGTTTAGTTGAAAAGGAGACGCTATTGCTGCTGTCATATGGCAATGAGTATTGCCTAATACTTTTTTTTATGAGGGAAATGCTACATTTCTTGTGGGTGAGATTTATAATTTTAAATCTTTCATATTATTTGGAAATGTAAAGCATTACTTTTATATTATCCTATCATTTTTGGGTCCTACAAATTATTTGGGAATGTTTATACACAGTTATTGACAAACATGGACAAAGATGATGCATGAATCCATAGAGAGCCTATTAAATTACTAGAAGGGCTATGTCATACACCCTCAAAGTTCCCAAATGGGTGAAAATGGCAGCCATATTAATCAGGGAGAAATCCAAACCAGTCTAATAATGGCAGTAGAGGTATAATCCTGATTTTACTAATGCAGGAAAATAAAAGGCATGTGATATCAGAAATTGTAATTGTCAACCTAAAATGTCATAAATATAGTTTATACGGGTTTTATACACATTCTGTATAAATAGCCTCATGTGAACAGACCATAAATGTGTAAAATATATATATATAGGAAAGCTGTGAGTTTTATTATATGATACAATATCATTACTTGTTGCATTTACAACTTGTCTATGTCCTATCATCAACTGATTTCAGTGTATAGATTGACACATTGTTTGAATGGAATGTTGGCAGTTAATTTGAAAAATTAATGGAATCATTCCTCAAACTGTGTGGCTAACAAACATACAGTGCAGATCAATTCTTCAAATTCATTATTTAACACAATATTTTAAACAATACAATCTTATCACAGCACTGGCAAACCATGGTTGACTAACTCCCTGACCAAAATGGCTGACCTTTATCCCATCATAAGAATGTTCATGGCCATTCAAGTATTCTAATTGTATTGTGTGTAATTTCTGTGTCAGGTCTCATCTGTAAAAGAAACATTGGTCTCAGTATGACACCCTGATAAAATTATGGTTAAATAAACATTCCTAATTCTACGCATGAATCAATAGTCAAACGCAAGACCGTAAATCACGTAATGACGTAGGCAACACGTTTTTTTCATCGGTACGTAGGACGTTCAGGGTTGCGGTTCAAAACGGAGAGGCTATACGGACACGCCTGGTGTCCAAATTGATGACGTTTTCGCACAGAGAGAGTCGAGTGGAGACGAACGCATTCGGTTCAGTCATCCTGATGAGCGCTTCGACAGCTAGCTAGGTTTATGATTACGGCTAGAAACTTCAGCGAGAATTTGTCTGCCGAAGTTGGGATTTGGGGGTGTTCAGACTCATTCCGTTTTAATAAGAGTAATTGTTCGTATTTTTACAATACATTTCAGTTGAAAATCACTACAATAAATGTGCTTTAGCTGTCATCCTGGCCTGATATTATCTACACACTATCTAGCTACTTCTCTCTCCTGCGGCAAACAGGAAGGACACTGTGCCCGGTGTTGTGTTGCAGCGTATACTCTTCCGATTGAGCAGTGTATAATGTATTAGTGACATCCAAGTGGTTACTACCAATATTACAAGTTATTTATCCTGTAGGCTGCTATCCTACTCGAAATAAAATGAAGTGGGATGGAACAAATGGGAGATGGTGACCAATACTACAAGTTATTTCTCCCTCGCCCATCGAAATAAACCTCGCTTTCTTTAACAAGTTGTAACTTGCGCCATGCTGCTGTTGTTGCTAGCTAGCCAGCCAACATAAACTAGCTGGTAAGGGCTTATCAGGACGACTGACTGAACCGAATCCATTCGTCTCCACACTCGATTCTCAGCTGCGTCATCAATTTGGGCACCAGGCGTGTCCCTATAGCCTCTCCCGGTTCAAAGAGGAAGGAAGATGGCGGACAACAAAGGCGAAGAGGATATCGAGAGCGCTTCCAAATTAGATTCAGAACCTCGGGGAGAGGATAGCGGAGACCCCGAATTGAAAGATGTGAATTCGGTGATTGTCATAGAGCCCGATTCGAAAGAAGGAGAGGATTTACAATCCCAAGATAATGTTTCTCAGATGTCTACACACGCTAACGTTAGCGGAGGAGGGGACGCTAGCAGCAACAGCGCGGGCGCAGGGGGGGAAGGCAGCACTAGCAGCAGTCCAGTTGGGAACACCAATGGGGGTACAACCGAGTCCTCGGGTGCTGGGGACATTGCTGGAACCTCACTAGCATTCACAACAGAAATGTCTCCACCGCCGACGGTTCCACCAGCCAACCCCGTCACCCCAATAAACCTTATGGATACGTGCGCTGTGTGTAAACAAAGTCTCCAGACCCGTGACTGTGAACCCAAACTCTTACCGTGTCTTCATTCATTTTGCTTGAAATGTATCCCCCAGCCAGAGCGACAAGTTACCGTACAGGTGCCCGGGCCGAACGGACAGCCAGACACCCACATAGGTGAGTGTAGCCCTTGATCATGACTCTCAGTTCCATCACATTAGTCATTGGACGAAGGCTTCTTCTGTAGGGGGGAGTTTTGTCAGCCAGACACCCACATAGGTGAGTGTAGCCCTTGATCATGACTCTCAGTTCCATCACATTACAGTCATTGGACGAAGGCGTCTTCTGTAGTGGGGAGTTTTGTCAAGAGTCGCGACGATCGGTCTTAACATTAACACACATCACTTGCGACACGGTTTTGAAAGTATAAGGACTTTATCTTCCATATCGGCGATAAATAATAATAACACACCTTTTTATAGGGTTAGGGTTCCCACACGGCCATATTTCCATGTTACAGCGCTTGTTTACGGAAAACAGAGTGGACTGACTACCTGTGCTAATTATCTAGCTATCTGCATCTCCGAACACCTGTGTGTAAACGGAAGACGGATGCCACAAACGTGTTGTCACTGAAAAATACTGTCGGCTGCAACTGTGTTAAAACCGTGTACAGTAAGTGTGTATTTTGCATTTGTGAAAATATTTTATATGAAAGTAAAGAATGTTATGTTCCTAGAACCGTACCGCAATTGAGAATCGATGCACGTTAAGATTGAGTATTTGTCTGTTTTGGCTTCCAGATCAAATTCGCCCTTTAAACAGAACATGCAAGGTCCTTGGACTAAGGAGTAACGTTAGGCTCCTTTAGTCCAATATTGGGCAAAGGTGAGTGTAGCCTACTTGATTGAAGTGGTCATAGATTATTTGTACCAGCAATTGTGTATAAACATTGAGTACCAGGCAGCAGCCCAATGGTCAGCAAGCGTAATGACATGCAAATAAATCGACTTGATGGAAAGTTTCAGGATAATATTGTTTTTCATTAATTACTAGATGTCATATGGAGATAGATATATTACTCACATTGTGACTCATTACAATAATGATTCACATTGGGCCTAACCTAGCTAATAATGGGAGTGCAACATAGCATACTGAATAGTCAACAGCCCCTGGGCCTGATAGGTCTATGCCAGAAGAGTATTCATATTGAATATCACGTGCCCCACGGTATAATTATTTTCAGTTTGTCTTATCTGTAAAGAGCCTTGGCCTAAGACCCAAAATTCAGTTTCTCCATCCTTCCTCAAGGTGGGAAGTTTGTCCATCCATAGAGCATTATCCTTGCATGACAATTACACCAGAACTACTATGCCCACATAAAGACAAGCCACATTCATATTTGGTAAGCCCCCAAAATTCTGTTATGGTGTGGCTTTGGGACCGGGTGACGTGATTGTTATAAGTTTGTGCATGTCTTCAGACAGAACACACATTTTGTTTTACTTCTGTTAGCAAGGCTTCCAGGAGTAAAAATGTTGGAAGATCGGTGGATATGGAAAAGAGCTTGTTTTCTGTCAAAGGACGTTCAAATGATAAATCTCAGATCTTCAAGTCTGAGGGGCTCTTTGAGCCCACCACTATGGCAACCAAATAACCTACCCGGCTATGGGTCTGTCTGCGGTTGATATGGGAAAGATGCAATGATCCATTTCTCAAATTGATCCATGTGGAGTAGGCCAAACAATGTGAGAGGACATCCATGTGAGATTGGACCTTAAAGATATAGGCCTATAACGCCATTGACAAATCAAATGACTGATGAAACATTGTGCTCTTGGTTGCTTGCTGGGAAGAAATCATATGTTTTCCAGCTATACTAATTCAAGTCATTTAGCAGATTTTTCCAGTTCAGATTTGATTCACATAGACAGTTATGTCCAAAGAAGTCAACCAACCAACTTTTTCCAGCTTGCAATAATGATTAGGCCCATTTCTGACTAGGCAAGACTTTGGATTACTATTTACTTTTACTCTATCAATGGTCAATTCTAGTAAACCCGTTCTTGATACATTAACCCTAGGCTAACTATTGACATTCAGAACTCATTTACAGACATTTTATGGGTAAGTTATTAAGGCCTAGGTTAAGATCATGGGCAACCAAGAACACATAATTCCAGCATTATTTCTGGCATGAAATCAAGGTAAAATGTTTCCCATTTTAGTTGTGACCTAGTTCTTCACCTTCTATTGGTGGACACTTGATAATGGCCCAGGAACACTACCCTTTCTGCTTGTCAGCACCCGTTGCGTTCTGGAAGATGCCATTATGACACTTCAGCCTACACCTAGCCTAGTCTGGTCCTCCTAGATCTTTTTGTGCGTATTGCAGCCAACCCCTATGGTCATTGACGTACCAAAGTTTTGGCATTGACAATTACCATAGTGGTTGGCTATACACTCCCGAGTGGCGCAGCGGTCTAAGGCACTGCATCTCAGTGCTTGAGGCGTCACTACAGACCCCCTGGTTCGATTCCAGGCTGTATCACAACCGGTCGTGATTGGGAGTCCCATAGGGCAGCGCACAATTTGCCCAGCGTCGTCCGGGTTAGGCCGGTGTAGGCCGTCATTGTAAATAAGAATTTGTTCTTAACTGACTTGCCTAGTTAAATAAAGGTTAAATAAAATGTTTTTAAAAAATACACCCAAACTGAAATGGGACCAGGCTACGCCTTGCCTATTCAATGCCGATGGCATTTTGGGCACTGTGGTCAGAACTACCCAAGGGCTGTGCTTTTTTCTTTTAAATTATTAAGACCCACTTTGTCTTATCAACATGGCTAAGATCGGATGAATTCAATGCAAAACATAAATACAGAAGCCTAAATAAGAGCAGTAGACTTAGGCCTAACTGTTTACAATGCCTTCATATATTTATTTATGTGTGCAAAGTCTACAAAAAAGAACAAAATCGCCACTTGGTTTGGTATAGCCTACCTACAGCTGAGGGATTGGGTTGGGGGAAACTCGAATTCAACGATTGAACTATGGATGCAAGGAATTGCAGTTCATGAGATCGATATCATGGTTTTAAAAATATTTTGAAGCTATACATTGTTTATTTACAAATTAAGTGTTAGGCCAATCATACAACATTATATTTGGGGTTATTTGCCTTGCCCTCATAAATCGCTTATGTGAATGTGGCATTTGTGGTTTAGATTTCATGTAGACCAGTAAGCCTAACTGTAGCTGGAGGGCCTAACCATTGAATAAACAAACATGTGGACTAATGGTACAAAATTGTCAGTGTCATCCACATATAGGCTACTAAAAAGGTCAGACATGACCGGTGCCACAAAATTAGGCTATGCCTATTTAATGTTGGCTGTCTTAGTTTTCCCCTAGTCTGATAGCCATGTTACAATTTCAGACATTCATGCATGAAATTCTGCCTCACCTGTTATTTAGGTCATATAAACAGTATAATGTAACAATAACCAACCATGAAATAGATTTTGCATTTGGATACAATGTTTGTGTGCACTGCAATGTCTGTGTGCATGCGCCCTGACTTGCCGCAGTTGAAAGTGTCACAGCTGCAGTGGCAGATCAGATCAGCCTTGGTGGTGTGGTCTCACAAACCCTCTCCAGCTGCACTCACAGCCAATCACTCACAGCCCCCTGCAGCTGGGGCTTACACAAACCGGCTGTGTGCAGCCCGAGCCAGTATATACTGGCTCAAACCGGTCTGAGCTGGTTTGTGCTGCATCCAGTGATGTACAGGGGATTTAATTGATGGGTTTAAGGGAGTTGAGAGGAGTTAAGTGTGGAGTAGTTAAGGATTATGTATTCAACATTTAGGGTTATGTATTTTCAACATGCATATCATTGCCCACTTATGATATAGCTCACTGATTTACATATCTTGCATGAGCATAGCTACTTCATTATTCAGAAAACTTGAAAATAATAGGAAATATTGGGGTGAATCAGAATAAATAATATAATTTAATGGATTTATATAACTCTTTTCCCAACCCTCAAAGGGAAACTGCCTCATCAACCGGTCGGGATTGGGAGTCCCATAGGGCGGCGCGCAATTGGCCCAGCGTCGTCCGGGTTTGGCCGGTGTAGGCCGTCATTGTAATGAAGAATTTGTTCTTAACTGACTTGCCTAATTAAATACTTTTTTTTTAAAAAAATAAATATATATTTATTATTATTTTTTAATCTACCACCAATATGTAGCACCCACCTACTTAGGCCCTATAGGTCCTGTGTAGCTCAGTTGGGAGAGCATGGCGTTTGCAACGCCAGGGTTGTGGGTTCGATTCCCATGGGGGGCCAGTATAAAAAAATAAATAAATATAAACTCACTAACTGTAAGTCGCTCTGGATAAGAGCGTCTGCTAAATTACTAAAATGTAAAAATAATGTATTTCATAGTCCGCTATTCATATGGTACTTACCAATTCAATTGTAACATCTTTATTATTACTAAGTTTAAGTACCAACCAATGGTAAATGGTAAAAAACTGACATGGCTGACCTTTCTCAAACAAGGCTACCCAGAAACCAGTCTTTCCATACAGTTCAGACTGTAGATACAATCAAACTCATCTTCATAAAAAAAAATGCATTGTGTTTGTGACAAGCTGAGAACATGTGGAGGGACAAATGATCATTCAAAAATGTAGTTGAACCAGCTTGTGATGCCTAATCTGTTTGATGATTTGCATCCATCTCTTTTCTATATAGGCTTTTTGAATAGCCTCTGACCTATGTAGTATCTGTATGAAAACAATTAGTGAGAAAATGCTGTTTTTTTGCTGATTTCAAATGTTTTCTTTGGCAATTTCACCCCTTCTTAGGCTATAGGCCTAACCAGTGCTTCTCTCTCATATCTTTCCTCTGTCTACTCTAGTGAATGTGATGCGGTGCATAGTTTGTTGTCAAGACTGCAAACAGAGTGACATCATTGACAACTACTTTGTCAAGGACACTACCGAGGCCTCCAACACTTCAGATGAAAAATCTGCACAGGTATACCACAATTGATAACACAATCCAGTTACATTCAATTGGATGGTTGATTTATTACAAGCTCCCCTTTTATCAGCAGCATGTAGCCTAGCCTAAGTATGTGTCTAAGTGTAAGTGGGGACATGTGTTTTGTCTCATTCAGATGTGCACCAGTTGTGAGGACAACGCAGATACCATAGGGTTCTGTGCAGAATGTGGAGAGTGGTTGTGCAAGACCTGCATTGAGGCTCACCAGAGGGTCAAAATCACCAAGGACCACAAGATCCGCAAGAAAGAAGACGTCTCTGAGGGTAAACTGCCCTACAAACCTAAACACAATATGAAATGTGTACCCTGGAATATCAAGTGACAATTTGACATAGTTGCATGTGTAGGCCAGCACTTTCTATTTGCAAGGAGGAGGCTCTGGGGTAGGCATTTGCTGTCTCATAGCACGGTGTAGTTTTTCCAGGCCTCCTAACTTCATAGCTGATTTGCTGTTGCCATGGCAACCATGCTGCAGAATCACTGACATGCAGTACTATATATTGTGGTTCTATCAGACTTTTCTGAAGCATTAATTTATGTATCTCTCTCTTGCTTCTATTCTTTCTCTCACACTTTCTTTCACTTTTTTTCCACTCACCATATTTCATATTCTTTCATTCTTTCGTTTGTTTCTCTCGGTCTCTGTAGAGTCTGTAGGTGCGTCGGGTCAGAGACCTGTGTTCTGTCCCGTCCACAAACAGGAGCCCCTGAAACTCTTTTGTGAAACCTGTGACACACTCACCTGTCGGGACTGCCAACTGCTGGAGCACAAGGAGCACAGGTAGGACATGCAGTGCATAGACAACACAGGAATGATCTTTAGAATAGGGCATCTAAATCTGTAGTGGATACTGGTCGGTGGTGGTGGATGGTAATGCATTTGGTTTTGTGTTACATTCACATACACTACCGTTAAAAAGTTAGGGGTCACTTAGAAATGTCCTTGTTTTTGAAAGAAAAGCAATTTTTTTGTCCATTAAAATAACATCAAATTGATCAGAAATACAGTGTAGACATTGTTAATGTTGTAAATTGCTATTTTAGCTGGAAACGGCTGTTTTTAATGGAATATCTTCATAGGCGTACAGAGGCCCATTATCAGCAACCATCAGTCCTGTGTTCCAATGGCACATTGTGTTTGCTAATCCAAGTTTATCATTTTAAAAGGCTAATTGATCATTAGAAAACCCTTTTGCAATTATGTTAGCACAGCTGAAAACTGTTGTGCTGATTTAAAGAAACAATAAAACTGGCCTTCTTGAGACTAGTTGAGTATCTGGAGCATCAGCAATTGTGGGTTCGATTACAGGGTCAAAATGGCCAGAAACAAAGAACTTCCTTCTAAAACTCATCAGTCTATTCTTGTTCTGAGAAATTAAGGCTATTCCATGCGAGAAATTGTTTTCAGCTGTGCTAACATAATTGCAAAAGGGTTTTCTAATGATCAATTACCCCTTTGATAAACTTGGATTAGCAAACACAACGTGCCATTGGAACACAGGACTGATCGTTGCTGAAAATGGGCCTCTGTACGCCTATGTAGATATGCCATTCAAAATCAGCAATTTCCAGCTACAATAGCCATTTACAACATTAACAATGTCTACACTGTATTTCTGATCAATTTGGTGTTATTTTAATGGACAAAAAATTTGCTTTTCTTTTGAAAACAAGGACATTTCTAAGTGACCCCTAACTTTTTAACGGTAGTGTATCTCCAATGAGGATCGGGCACAATGAGAAAAGCAGCAATCTCGTCCAGTGATCTAAGCCCTAGTGTTCTTTGCTGAACAAAGTTTATCCTCTCTCAGGTACCAATTTCTGGAGGAGGCCTTCCAGAACCAGAAAGGCTTCATCGAGACACACATGGCCAAACTGCAGGAGAAAAAGACCTACGTCCACTACTCACACTCTCACGTGACAAGCAGGTACAGCAGCATTCCCATCTCTTCTGTGAAAGTCTTGTAATGCGACTTCATAGCTGCAGGGGGAACTTTCTTCTAGGTACAAATCTGGAACCAGCTTCCTGTCCCCCAATCCTAATCTTAACCACAGTGGGGCAAATGCTAAACTGACCCAAGATCAGTGTCTTGGGGCCATTTCACCCTACAGCGATTTCATACAGGTTTGTTAATGGGTTGAGGACAATGTCCCCTCAAGCAGCGCGCGGGTGCGCAGTAGCCCCGAGACTGCTGCGCAGCTCCCCCGGGACTGCCAGCCAACGGAGAGAAGCACGAGATTCAATTTCACTTAACTTTCTAGAGTTTTCCATGTTAGTTTCCCTTTACTGTGGAATTGTGAACGAATCAACGCAATATTAGCCACTTTCAATGCAACATACCTAAATAAAACTAACTATGTTAGTATGTAAAACTAACTATGCAAGAGATTTTGTTGTAGGCAGAACGCATCGGAGTAGGATTCTATTGCATTAACATGAACGACTCAGCCCGTACTCTACACAGACCGGTGTGGTATAACCGATCAGAGCTGCAGTAGGCCTATATGCAAATAGATCATTACCATAAATGGAGCTGTGCCATTTACTTTGAACTGAACTGTGTTTACAGCATGAGCGGTCGTGAGTAGATGAACTTGTGCAGCGAGAGCTGCATGTAGGCCCGTGTGCACATTTTGTTCATGTCCTTTGCTAGTTAGTGAGTTATTAGCCCAGTTATAGATAATTTGTGGTCAGCAATAGGGGAGTTTTTGCTTCCTACAAGAGCACAAAACGTGTACATGTCTAGACATCTTTGAAAAGTGAGTCTGGTAAAGAGCTTTCTTTTGTCTTAAAGGGGTAGTGTTGTATTTTGAGGCAGGCTTGAAAAAGCTAAGTAGCCAATAAGCAGAGGGTAGTATAATTTGTCTGATTCTCTGTAATAATGGTATGGGAATAATAATGCATTTTATTTTGTATAGTGGTTTCTTTCATCAAACAACACAACAAGATTTTCAGTCACCTCCTTGTCTGAAAGACAAGTGGATAAACAGGTTGTCAAGCCTTGCATGTTTTTTTTCAAAAGTCTTATCCTCAGGGGTGCGTGCTCAGTCCCCTCCTGTCCTCCCTGTTCACCCATGACCTCATGGCCAGGCACGACTCCAACGCCATCATTATGTTTGCCGACGACACAACAGTGGTAGGCCTGATCACCGATAACGATGAGACAGCTTATAGGGAGGAGGTCAGACCTGGCCGTGTGGTGCCAGGATAACAACCTCTCCCTCAACGTGATCAAGACAAATGAGATGATTGTGGACTACAGGAAAAAGAAGAGGACCGAGCACGCCCCCATTCTCATCGACGGGGCTGTAGTGGAGCAGGTTGAGAGCTTCAAGTTCCTTGGTGTCTACATCACCAGCAAACTATCATGGTCCAAACACACCAAGACAGTCATGAAGAGGGCACGACAAAGCCTATTCCCCCTCAGGAGACTGAAAAGATTTGGCATGGGTCCTCAGATCCTCAAAAAGTAATACAGCTGCACCATCGAGAGCATCCTGACTGGTTGCATCACTGCCTGGTATGGCAACTGCTCTGCCTCCGACCGCAAAGCACTACAGAGGGTAGTGCGTACGGCCCAATACATCACTGTGGCCAAGCTTCCTGCCATCAAGGACCTCTATACCAGGCGGTGTCAGAGGAAGGCCCTAAACATTGTCAAAGACTCCAGCCACCCTAGTCATATATTGTTCTCTCTGCTACCGCACGGCAAGCGGTACCGGAGCGCCAAGTCGAGGTCCAAAGGCTTCTTAATAGCTTCTACCCCCAAGCCTTAAGACTCCTGAACAGCTAATCAAATGGCTACCCGGACTATTTACATTGTTCCTCCCCCCACCCCCTCTTTTACGCTGCTGCTACTCTCTGTTCATTATCTATGCATAGTCACTTTAACTCTACCTACATGTACATATTACCTCGACTAACCTGTGCCCCCGCACATTGACTCTGTACCGGTACCCCCTGTATATAGCCTCTCTACTGTTATTTTACTGCAGCTCTTATTTTTATTTTTTAGTTATCAATTTTCTACTTAACACTTATTTTTCTTAAAACTGCATTGTTGGTTAAGGGCTTGTAAGTAAGCATTTCACTGTAAGGTCTACACCTGTTGTATTCGGCGCATGTGACATAACATTTGATTTGATTGTAGGTCTACATTGAACATCACACATTGGCTGCTACTGTAGGCTGAATGATAGAACAGCTATATCCATGTTCAAATGTTATGAGATGCATTTTCTCCATTGTTTTTTATGGTAGGCCACTCTGGTAGGCCTACATTATGATCAAATAGCCACAGTAGCCTACTTGACCACTATTAAAACTGTAACTTAAAGCGGGTACAGCCCCAGTGTTCACAGTAAACGTATGCTGGAAGTTGCACAATTTTCTCAAAGTGCTATTTTATTGTTTATTAGTGTGTTTGTAGTTTGAGTGACTGTGTGTGTCCCCGTTTCCATCCAGGCTAAAGGAAGTTACTGAGACCCATAGGAAGGTGGAGCATGAGATCAAGATAGCCGTGTTCACTCTTATCAACGAAATCAACAAGAAGGGCAAGTGTTTACTGCAGCAGCTTGAGGTAAGGCCATTATGAAACCTATGCAAGGAATGTATTTAAACTTCTCTTCAGAACCCTTTGAATTTAGAAGATTTATGCTCTCAGGCCCATTTTCCTAGAGCCAGATTATGCCTAGTCCTGGACTCAAACACACTTTCAATTAAGGTTTTTAATCTAGGGTTCGGGAAACAGGCCTTCAGTGTTTTTATCAGCATCTACTAATGAACTGTATCTAGGCCTACAGTACCAGTCAAAAGTTTGGACAAACCTACTCATTCCAGGGTTTTTCTTTATTTTTACTATTTTCTATGTTGTAGAATAATAGTGAAGACATCAAAACTATGAAATAACACATATGGAATCATGTAGTAACAAAGTGTTAAACAAATCCAAATATATTTTAGTTTCTTCAAAGTAGCCACCCTTTGCCTTGATAACAGCTTTGCACACTCTTGGCATTCTCTCAACCAGCTTCATGAGGTAGTCACCTGGAATGAATTTCAATTAACAGGTGTGCCTTGTTAAAAGTACATTTGTGGAATTAATGCGTTTTAGCCAATCATTTGTGTTGTGACAAGGTAGGGGTGGTATACAGAAGAGAGCCCTATTTGGTAAAAGAACAGCTCAAATAAGCAAAGAGAAACGACAGTCCATCATTACTTTAAGACATGAAGGTCAGTCAATACGGAACATTTCAAGAACTTTGAAAGTTTCTTCAAGTGCAGTCGCAAAAACCATCAAGCGCTGTGATGAAACTGGCTCTCATGAGGACCGCCACAGGAATGGAAGACCCAGAGTTACTTCTGCTGCAGAGGATAAGTTCATTAGAGTTACCAGCCTCAGAAATTGCAGCCCAAATAAATGCTTCACAGAGTTCAAGTAACAGACACATTTCAACATCAACTGTTCAGAGGAGACTGCGTGAATCAGGCCTTCATTGTCGAATTGCTGCAAAGAAATCACTACTAAAGGACACCAATAAGAAGAAGAGACTTGCTTGGGCCAAGAAACACGAGCAATGGACATTAGACCGGTGGAAATCTGTCCTTTGGTCTGATGAGTCCAAATTTGAGATTTTTGGTTCCAACCGCCGTGTCTTTGTGAGACGCGGAGTAGGTGAATGGATGATCTCCGCATGTGTGGTTCCCACCGTGAAGCATGGAGGAGGTGGTGTGGGGGTGCTTTGCTGGTGACACTGTCAGTGATTTATTTAGAATTCAAGGCACAATTAACCAGCATGTGATACGCAATCTGCAGTGATACGCAATCCCGTCTCGTTTGGGCTTAGTGGGACTATCATTTTGTTTTTCAACAAGACAATGACCCAACACACCTCCAGGCTGTGTAAGGGCTATTTGACCAAGAAGGAGAGTAATGGAGTGCTGCATCAGATGACCTGGCCTCCACAATCATCCGACCTCAACCCAATTGAGATGGTTTGGGATGCGTTGGACCGCAGAGTGTTAAGGATCTGTGGGAACTCCTTCAAGACTGTTGGAAAAGCATTCCAGGTGAAGCTGGTTGAGAGAATGCCAAGAGTGTGCAAAGCTGTCAAGGCAAAGGGTGGCTACTTTGAAGAATCTCAAATATAAAATATATTTTGATTTGTTTAACACTTTTTTGGTTACTACATGATTCCATATGTGTTATTTCATAGTTTTGATGTCTTCACTATTATTCTACAATGTAGAACGTGGTCCTCTGTAGCTCAATTGGTAGAGCATGGCGCTTGTAACGCCAGGGTAGTGGGTTCGATCCCCGGGACCACCCATACGTAAAAATATATGCACACATGACTGTAAGTCGCTTTGGATAAAAGCGTCTGCTAAATGGCATATTATTATAGAAAATAGTAAAAATAAAGAAAAACCCTTGAATGAGTAGGTGCGTCCAAACTTTTGACTAGTACTGTATATATTGAGAAACATGAATACTAATAAATCACTATGAACTTAATCTCGCTCCTACATTGCCAGATGATGGGAAGTTTATTCTGTGATGTTACTTGGATACCGTTTTAATTGAATAGAAAAGGGGTTATGCTTGACCCTAATTACATAGTAATTACATAGGTGGTTGCCTGTTGGTAGTGGCAGGTAGCCTAGTGGGCTGCAGGTAGCCTAGCAGTAATGAGTTTTAGGCCCGTAACCGAAAGGTCACTGGTTCGAATCCCCGAACAGACTGAAATCAGTTGGTGCCCTTGTCCAAGGCACTTAAACATAATTGTTCCTGTAATTCGCTCTGGATAAGAGTGTCTGCTAATTGACTAAAATGTAAGGTTTCTCCCAACCGTTTGTCCCTTGGTCCTCCAGAGTGTGACTAAGGAGAGGAGCATGAAGCTGTTTTCCCAGCAGACAGACATCGCTAACCTGGCCAGGCAGATCCTCCACGTGCTCAACTTCACCCACTCTGCCATTAACAGCGGCAGCAGCACCGCGCTGCTTTACAGCAAGAGGCTGGTACGGAGTACAGATAAACACACACACACTCAGGGAAAAGCTCTCCGCAACGAAAGGCTAAAGAGTGCACTATATTATATGCGGAAGCTATGACGGTTGCCCTATCCTAAATCGATCCTCTGTATATAGTATATTGTCTATATAGTACCTACAAACAACATCCCAATATCTTCATTCTTCAGATCATCTACCAGCTGCGCAAGGTTCTGAAGGCTGGACTGGAACCAGTGCCTCAGGCTAATGGTTCTGTTCGCTTCTTCTGTGACCCCACATTCTGGGCCAAGAATGTGGTCAACCTAGGTGAGAGGACCCCCCTATGACTGTGATGGGCTTTTGGGGGTTTACTACTCTACATGCAGGGAAGTATGCAAGGACATCTGTTTCTGGTCACCGATGGTACAGTATAAAGCATTTAATAGAAAGGGAGATGGGGGACGGGGACGCACTCAATATACTTTGAAATGTCTAAATCCAATCGAAACTGTGTAGAAATGGTAATGAAATGAAATGATAACTACATTCATAGTTTCTTGACTGTGTCCAGCTTGTTAATAATCACCGAAATGAAAGCTAGACAGGTCAGGGAGCATCGAATTTAAGAAACGATGGATAGAAGACAGTTTTTCTCTCTCAAATTCTGATAGTTAGAAAATATAACATATTTTCAGTGTGGCCCTCCTTACCTAATTCGGCCTAGTTTGACAGCCTTGGTCTAGGGGAATCTTCATACACTCAGTCACTTACTCTTAGCCTCCCCTCTCTCCCCCTCCCACTGTAGGGAACCTGGTAATCGAGAAGATGCCCCAGGCTCAGCACCCTCCCAACATTATGGTGGGACCCATCTCCCCGGGCCATGGCCACCCAGGCCACGGAAAACACCCGGGGCAGATCAATCTGGCTCAGCTCCGCCTGCAGCACATGCAGCAGCAAGCCTTCGCCCAGCAGAAACAACAGCAACAACAACAGCAGCAGCACCAACAACAGCACCAACAGCAGCACCAACAGAGGATCCAGGAGCAGATGCGTATCGCTTCCCAAATGTCCCAGCAGCACCCCAGGCAGGGTGGACCTCCGATGGTACAGCAACAGGTAGACTGAGGAGGACAGCATTTTTTGATTATTTTAGGGTACCGTTGTTCCCATCGATAGCAGTGGTGTAGTGAAGGGTAAACATACGTAAACACTGTTTACGCACCTTTTTTATTTTGCACAAGCGTTTACCCACCTATTGCGAAAAAATGCATTGAAAATATAGGTAGTGTTAATTTACTCACCAATCATTTTTTGACCATTACATCACTGATTGATGGAGTACATTTGTCAAGCCAGGTTCACTTTTTTATTTACAGAAAATAGTTATACAGTCATAACATAGTGGAACTATAATAGTAATCAATATTATCTGTTGCTCTAAGGATTTAGTTAATTACAATGCAATTTTATGTAAAAGTCTAACGGTCTCTCCCCAGCCCCCGCGCCTCATCAGCATGCAGGCCCAGCAGAGGGGCCCCATGAACGGCGGTCCCCTCATGTACCCCCCCCACCACCTGCGCCTCGCCCCGGGACAGGGCCGCATGCCCAGCCCCAGCGCCCAGCCACGCATGCCCAACGGTCAGCAGTACCCCCCAATGATGCAGCCCCAGCTGCAGAGACAGGTCAGACTACACCACTCACATTATGTCCCTGAGGGGAGGTATAGATACTTTATTACTCCCCAAAAGGGAAATTGATCAGAAAGACAATATCCTTAGAATAATAACAAATACAGTAAACAAAAGATATGTTTTAATGCAGAAACCGGTGTGAGTGATTGGCACTACTGTCGCCATTTTGTAGTAGGATTTTCACTGAGTGTGTATGTATGGGTACCTTTTTGTGTTTAGCTGACTATAGATTCTGAGATGAGCCACCACAGGTTTCGTTTGTTACATCTAACAGGGGTTTGGCACTTTTTCTACTTGTACTTAAATAGTAGTTGTGTTTTGTGTTGCATGGGCATGATTAGTGATTATGCTTCCAAAAGTTACCTTTCAGCACGTCGTAGACCTGGTAGAATTGAACAATAATGAATAGTCAATGCTGTTGTAAATCTCTAGTTTTTGACCTCCTCCCTCCCCTCTCCCTGTAGCATTCTAACCCAGGTCATGCTGGACCCTTCCCAGTGGCCTCTCTCCACAATGTGACCCCAGCCAACCCCACCAGTCCCACCAGTGCCAGCATGGCCAGCGCCCATGCCCACCGTGGCCCCGCCAGCCCCATAGTGGGCGCCATCGAGCTCATCCCATCCGTCACCAACCCAGAGAACCTGCCCTGCCTACCAGACATCCCTCCCATTCAGGTACACACAGCCCTCAGGGAGCAGGCACATGTCACGTACCTCCAAATCTCACCAAACCTGCTTCCATTCTCATCCCGCTCCTTTTCTCCTGGCCCCCACCTCTTTGCTTTTTGTAGATCTGAGGGGATTGGATAGGTGTGAGTAATACAGTGCATTCGGAAAGGATTCAGACCCCTTGACTTTTTCCACTTTGTTACGTTACAGCCTTATTCTAAAATGGATTAAATTGTATTTTTCACCTCATAAATCTACACACAATAACCCAGACCCTTTACTCAATACTTTGTTGAAGCACCTTTGGCAGCAATTACAGCCTAGAGTCTTCTTGGGTATGATGCTACAAGCTTGGCACACTTGTATTTGGGGAGTTTCTCCCATTCTTCTCTGCAGATCCTCTCAAGCTCTGTCAGGTTGGATGGGGAGCGTCACTGCACAGCTATTTTCAGGTCTCTCCAGAGATGTTTGATCGGGTTCAAGTCCGTGCTCTGGCTGGGCCACTCATGGACATTCAGAGACTTGTCCCGAAGCCACTCCTGCATTGTCTTGGCTGTGTGCTTAGGTTGTCATTGTCCTGTTGGAAGATTAACCTTCGCCCCAGTCTGAGGTCCTGAGCACTCTGGAGAAGGTTTTCATCAAGGATCTATAATAATAATAATAATATTATGATCTCTCTGTACTTTGCTCCGTTCATCTTTGCCTCGATCTTGACTAGTCTCCCAGTCCCTACCGCTGAAAATCATCCCCACAGCATGATGCTGCCACCACCATGCTTCACCGTAGGGATGGTGCCACGTTTCCTCCAGACGTGACGCGTGGCATTCAGGCCGAAGAGTTCAACTTTGGTTTCATCAGACCAGAGAATCTTGTTTCTCATGGTCTGAGAGTCCTTTAGGTGCGTTTTGGCAAACTCCAAGCGGGCGGTCATGTGCCTTTTACTGAGGAGTGGCTTCCGTCTGGCCACTCTATAATAAAGGCCTGATTGGTGGTGTGCTGCAGAGATGGTTGTCCTTCTGGAAGGTTCTCCCATCTCCACAGAGGACCAAGGCCCTTCTTCCCGGATTGCTCAGTTTGGCCGGGCGGCCAGCTCTAGGAAGAGTCTTGTTGGTTCCAAACTTCTTCCATTTAAGAATAATGGAGGCCACTGTGTTCTTGGGGACCTTCAATGCTGCAGACATGTTTTGGTACACTTCCCCAGATCTGTGCCTTGACACAGTCCTGTCTTGGAGCTCTACGGACAATTCCTTCGACCTCATGGCTTGGTTTTTGCTCTGACATGCACTGTCAACTGTGGGACCTTATATAGACAGGTGTGTGCCTTTCCAAATCATGTCCAATCAATTGAATTTACCACAGGTGGACTCCAATCATGTTGTAAAAACATCTCAAGGATGATAAATGGAAACAGGATGCACCTGAGCTCAATTTCGAGTCTCATAGCAAAGGGTCTGAATACTTATGTAAACAAGGTGTTTCTGTTTTTTCTTTTTAATACATTTGCAAAAATAATTACAAAATCTGTTTTCGCTTTGTTATTATGGGCTATTGTGTGTAGATTGATGGGGAAATAATCATTTAATCCAGTTTAGAATAAGGCTGTAAGGTAACAAAATGTGGAAAAGGGAAGGGGTATGAATACTTTCTAAATGCACTGTATGATTAATATTCAATGTAACTTCTGCCATATTGCTTTATACCCATCTGGTCCTTTCCTATTTTTGCTCATTGAAGGAGCTAGGGGTAGGGGAAGGGGGTAGGGAGCGGAATGGGAACCTGGCTCAACTCAGGTCAACTCAAATGTGGTGCCTAGTGAAAGTCTACACACCCTTTGCACTGTCACATTTTCTCCCTTAAATGAAAAAAAATAAAAATGAATTGGGATTTCCCCCTCCAATGATCTACACAACCTACTCCACACTTTCAAAGTAAAATAAAAATGATATACTTTTTTGGGGGGAAAATATATATTGATTGCATAGGTCTACACAAAAATCACACAATTACTTTTAATTGGGTCCATCTGTGTGCAAAAGTAATGGTTTTCATAATTTTTTAATAACTTCTGTCTCTAAGGTACCTCCGATGTATAGTAAATGTCAAACAATGATTTAACCTCAAAGCCACGAAAGTGCTTTAAAAACTTGTCAGGGATGAATTTGTAGACTGGGACAGATCAGGGGAAGGTTATGAAATCATTCCAATGCACTGAATAACCCTTTGAGTATAGTAATTAAGCTGTTGATGGTGTATCGTATCACCTGGGTACTGAGAGGATCTGACCGTCCTTCATAACTGCGGTAAGGGAGAGAATGGAAACTACTAAGCTAACATATACCAAGGATCATTTAGCTATTTGATTTGGAGTTTTGGGACCCCTTAAGGTATAATTTGTTATTTATTTGACGTAACATTGAATTTGGGCTTATTGCTATTAGCCCATAGAAACGCATTGAATAACAGCTTCTACAGTTGAAGTCGGAAGTTTACATACACCTTAGCCAAATACATTTAAACTCAGTTTTTCACAATTCCTGACATTTAATCCTAGTAAGAATTCCCTCTCTTAGGTCAGTTAGGAATGTCAAATGTCAGAATAATAGTAGAGAGAATTATTTATTTCAGATGTATTTCTTTCATCGCATTCCCAGTGGGTCACAAGTTTACATACACTCAATTAGTATTTGGTAGCATTGCCTTTAAATTGTTTAACTTGGGTAAAACGTTTCGGGTAGCCTTCCACAATAAGTTGGGTGAATTTTGGCCCATTCCTCCTGACAGAGCTGGTGTTACTTAGTCAGGTTTGTAGGCCTCCTTGCTCACACACGCTTTTTCAGTTCTGCCCACACATTTTCTATAGAATTGAGGTCAGGGCTTTGTGATGGCCACTCCAATACCTTGACTTTGTTGTCCTTAAGCCATTTTGGCACAACTTTGGAAGTATTCTTGGGGTCATTGCCCATTTGGAAGACCTATTTGCGACCAAGCTTTAACTTCCTGACTGATGTCTTGAGATGTCGCTTCAATATATCCACATAATTTTCCTTCCTCATGATGCCATCTATTTTGCGAAGTGCACCAGTCCCTCCTGCAGCAAAGCACCCCAAAAGCATGATGCTGCAACCCCCGTGCTTCACGGTTGGGATGGTGTTCTTCGGCTTGCTAGCGACCCCCTTTTTCCTCCAAACATAACGATGGTCATTATGGCCAAACAGTTCTATATTTGTTTCATCAGACCAGAGGACATTTCTCCAAAAAGTATGATCTTTGTCCCCATGTGCAGTTGCAAACCGTATTCTGGCTTTTATATGGCGGTTTTGGAGCAATGGCTTCTTCCTTGCTGAGCGCCCTTTCAGTTTATGTCGATATAGGACTCGTTTAACTGTGGATATAGATACTTTTGTACCTCTTTCCTCCAGCATCTTCACAAGGTCCTTTGCTGTTGTTCTGGGATTGATTTGCACTTTTTGCACCAACGTACATTAATCTCTAGGAGGAGAATCTCAAGGAGACAGAACGCGTCTCCTTCCTGAGCGGTATGATGGCTGCGTGGTCCCATGGTGTTTATACTTGCGTACTATTGTTTGTACAGATTAACGTGGTACCTTCAGGCGTTTGGAAATTGCTCCCAAGGATGAAATAGACTTGTGAAGGTCTACAATTGTTTTTCTGAGGTCTTGGCTGATTTTCTTTTGATTTTCCCATGATGTCAAGCAAAGAGGCACTGAGTTTGAAGGTAGGCCTTGAAATTCATCCACAGGTACACCTCCAATTGACTCAAATTATGTCAATTAGCCTATCAGAAGCTTCTAAAGCCATGACATCATTTTCTGGAATTTTCCAAGCTGTTTAAAGGCACAGTCAATTTAGTGTATGTAAACTTCTGACCCACTGGAATTGTGATTAAGTGAAACAATCTGTCTTTAAACAATTGCTGGAAAAATTACTTGTGTCATGCACAAAGTAGATGTCCTAACCAACCTGCCAAAACTATAGTTTGTTAACAAGAAATGTGTGGAGTGGTTGAAAAACGAGTTTTAATGACTCCAACCTAAGTGTATGTAAACTTCCGACTTCAACTGTATCTCCATATATATTTCATTTTTTTTATTGGTACCCGGCTACCTTCAGACTAGGCTTGTGGGCGTCCTAGAGCAAAACAACCAACATGTATGTGAGAGACATTTCCATAGAGGGGTCATATTAGTGTGTAGCCCAAACGGTTCAGACGCTACAGACCGAAGTTGGCAGATCGGATGTACCGACTTCAGACGAGTCCCATGATGCTTATGGGGGTCGTAGAGCAAAACGGAGAATAACACAGTGTTCATGAGTTATCTTTCCATAGAGCGTTCAAACCATTTGGATGCTACAGACGTTTTCGCGAGAATACAGATTTTCGGGATGTCTCATGGTCTGACAAACACAATCTAGCTCTGCCACCTTTCACCGCAGATGCGGAAGGGCGACATTGGCGGATGCAGTGGATTGAGATGCAGCCCATGCAAAACAACATATCTCTAGCTTAAACTGGCAGATTTTGATGGAGATTTTTTTATTATGCTAATTAGATTTCCATGTGGCCGCGTACATCGACTCTAGGGGGTTGTGGAAATCTGTGGATGGATCAACAACACTGCATTCATTCCACATCACTGGCCTGTATGTGGCATGTGCTAAAAAAATCTATTCCAAATCATCCTTCCTGTTTGCAAAAAGGCCATTAAGGAATACTGTAAGAGAACATGGCAAACAAATGAACTTTTTTTCATAAATGCAAAACTTTAGGTTTGGGGCAAATAAAAAAACAACAACATCATAGTGAACCTTTCGTATATTTCATGAATTGTGTCGGCATCATCATGTTAATATGGGTATGCTTGTTACCGGCAGGGACTTGGGAGTTTTGTGAAAGGGGCAAAGCACAGATGAAAGCATGCCTTTAGTCTTCTGAAGACCTTACACTGGGATAGAGATGTATTTTTCAGGGTGACAATTATCCAAATTATAAGTCCAAAGATGCACCATAATGGCTTTCCACAAGGTGTTCAGTGTTTCTGAGTGGTGTAATCTCAGCCCTGACTTAGATCTGCATGACAATCAGAGACAATACTTTAATATTGCTGTCCATTAATGATCCCCAACCAACTTGACTGAGCTTGAGCAATTTTGCCAAGAACAATGGATAGATGTTGCCCCAAGAGTTGTGGAAAGTTGGTGGAGCCTTATTCAAAATTATTTACATTTACATTTTAGTCATTTAGCAGACCAGAGCGACTTACAGTTAAGTGAGTGCATACATAATTTTTTTCATACTGGCCCCCCGTGGGAATCAAACCCACAACCCTGGCGTTGCAAAAGCCATGCTCTACCAACTGAGCTACATTGCTGGCAAAAGTATTAACTAAGGGGTGTGAAGACCTAATGCAATCAACAAGTCTTAATTTTTATAATTTTCATTTTGAAAGTGTGGACTAGTTTTGTGTAGATCAGTTGGGGGGAAAATCCCTTTTTTTTATTTTTTTTATCCATTGTTAGATTTTAATTTAAGCGAGCAAAATGTGACATGTGCGAAGGGTGTATAGGCTGTCACTATGCACTGTACATGGTAATTCGTCATCAGAAATGGTCTCAAGGTGAACTGAAAATGACCACTAATTCTGTGTTATTTTCCTGTGGTTGGATGCTTTGGCACAATCAGCTGGAAGACGCGGGCTCCAGCAGTCTGGACGCCCTCCTGAGTCGCTGGATCTCAGCCAGCACATACCCTCAGCTAGGCCTGTGGCCCCCCGTGGACATGAATCCCTCCCCCGGACTCTCCACACACTCGCCTGGCTCCTCAGGTACTGGAGGACTACAATGCATATACACACACACACACACAGCTTCAATCCCATCTATGATTTTGAATCATTTGTCAAAAACAAGTGCTCATATCACTGTCACGTTTTACGAAGATAATCTTTTGTATTACATGACTTCTATATTACTGCTAGGGTTGAATACCGGTGTCCCTGGACTTCCCGACCATGCCCCTTTCCGTTTCCCGAGAAATATAGGTCCCGTGGACTAATAATATAAAAATGTAATGCCGCACTAATGCAAAAATACAAAATATGCATGTGCAAATAGCTGCATGAACCGGACTTATCAACTCTCTGCCTTCATTCATACATTAGACTAGTCATCACAACGCTAGCAGCCTTCCATATTAAGCCTACTTGACGTAAAGTCTCCAATAGAAAACATAACTTGGTCTACTTGCATGACTTTTATAATTGCATTGCCGACTATCATGCGATGTCTCAACGCAGTTACTGAAGGCAATCTCCACATTCACAAATCTCCACTACTATAGTGCTGCTGAATCTCCGCTACTAGGCCTATTTTCTTATGTTTGTTTAGCTGGAATTGGATATGTTCCCTGTGACAGTCTCCACAATAAGCGGGTTATCATTAAGTAAAAACAGCCACAACCCTTATGAAATTCCCCTGATAGCCAGGTGCAAGGGGAGAGAAAAGTGCCAACAAGTTGGCTGACATCTTTCAGGCAAAGGTAAGCTAAAATGAAATGTAATTTTCACCAGGTTGTTGGTTAATAACCTTGTAATATTGTAGGCCTAAATCAACAAAATAGCGTGGTGACTTTGACAGAACTTTGAGTTGATTCAATTTTGGCAAATACAACAAGAAACCGTTAGATTCAAATCCATATTTCTCCATTTACAGTGTTATAATCATGTCAGATCTTTTTTTCTGCTGGTATTATTTGCTTTAATTAGCATTTCCAGTTTGAACAGGAATACCGGTATGGTTGCAATTTTCTCAGGAAGGAAATTGTTTTTATTTTCAGGAAAATATTCAACCCTAATTACTGCCTCATCCTTGCTCTCTGTCTGTCTCCCACCTGCAGGCTTATCAAACTCCCACACACCCGTACGGCCATCCAGTACATCCAGCACAGGAAGCAGGGGCAGGTAATGATGACACACAGGCTTAGCACTAGACCTCTGCGTGGAAAGTTCAAATGACGCTATTGCATAAAACTGTGGAACATCCATAGGATGGGCAGAAGGTAGCAATGCAGATATTGCACCATAGAGCAAGCTAGTCACTCCTGACCAATGAGTCCTTCTCTCACTGGTATACATGTAAAAGTATATGGATGACTGTAAGGGAGGTCTTGACTGTGTGTGTGTGTATACGTTTGTGTCCTCAGCTGTGGCTCTGCGGGGAGGCCAGTGCCAGCGAGCGCCCCAATGGAACAGCAGGTTAAAGTCAAGCAGGAGCCCGGAATCGAGAAGGAGTGTGGCTTCTCAGGAACCACCTCCTCCAATGTCAAAACTGAACGAGGGAAGGATGGAGGGAGGAGTGCGTGCATGGTAACACACCTCTAACTGCCCAGCTCTTTCACCTCCTTTTAGCCTGTCAGTACCTTGATCTTAATCTAGCAGGTATCTATGTACCTGAGGCTATGTACATTCTCCTCCGTATTTATTTGGACAGTGAAGCTAAAATGTTTAAATGTGACTCTATACTCCAGCATTTTGGATTTGAGATCAAATGTTTCATATGAGGTGACAGTACAGAATGTCACCAGGGTATTCTCTTACATATGTTTTACCATTTAGAAATGAAAACACTTTATATATCTAGTCCCCCCATTTGAAGAAGTCATAAGTATTTGGACAAATTCACTTATAGTGTATTAAAGTAGTCAAGTTTAGTATTTGGTCCCATATTCCTTGCACACAATGACTACCTCAAGCTTGTGACAAACATGTTGGATGCATTTGCAGTTTGTTTTGGTTGTTTCGGATTATGTTTTGCCCAATAGGAACTGAAAGGTGAATAATGTACCGTATTGGTCCGAATATAAGACGGCCTTTTTTCCCCTCGAAATAGGTCCAAAAAAGTCGGGTCGTCTTATATTCGGGGTCTAGTATTCAGAGCGCAGTTTCTCTTCTTCGGCGCTCCCTTTAAATGTCAATACACATTCGCGGGCACAGATGGCGCCAAAAATTCGTTCCGGACGGAGGGAAGAGGCGTCCTTAACAACCAGCCCGTTACCGGTGTTTAAAGATGGAAAGACAGGCTGACCATTTAGAGACAAGTGGCTCAAAAGTGGGCCAGGTCAATAAACAACAGCGGAGGAGCTATGATGCCAATTTCAAAATAATGGTTGTCAATAAGGCAGAGTCATCTAACAACTGCCAAGCTGCCAAGACATTCGGGGTCACTGAGTGTAATGTAAGAAGATGGCGAGCAGAAAAACAACGTCTAAAAGATGCTAACAGTCAGCGAAAATCCTTCCGTGGTCCTCAAAGTGGTCGTTTCATTGAGGTTGACCGGAGGGTTTTTGAATATGTCAGGGAAAAAAGAAGTGAGGGAATGCCCATTACCAGAGCTGTCATCCAGGTTAAGGCCCTGGAAATCGCCAGAGAGCTCAACATCACTGGATTTAAAGCCAGCCTCGGCTGGTGTCGTAGGATGATGCGGCGTAATGGACTGTCACTTAGACGGAGAACGAGTTTGGCCCAACGCCTGCCGTCAGACTTCGGAGAGAAGCTGCTTTCGTTTCAGCGCTTTGTTATCAACCTGAGGAAGAAGCACTCCTACCCGCTGGATCAGATCGGCAATGCTGATCAGACACCCGTTTATTTCGACATGCCAACATCGGTGACTGTCAATAGAAAGGGAGAAAAGTCTGTGTTGGTGAAATCAACGGGCAACGAGAAGAGCCGCGTCACTGTCATGTTGACATGTCTCGCTGGTGGCAGCAAACTCCCCCCGTATGTCATTCTTAAGCGTAAGACTGTGCCAAAGGACCCAATGCCAGCTGGCATTATTGTGCGCGCCCAGGAGAAGGGCTGGATGGAGTCGGGGCTTGTAGTGGACTGGCTAAAGGTTGTGTGGGGCGCACGCTACGGGGGACTGAGGAAGAGGAGGAACATGCTCGTTCTGGATGCGTTCCGCGGACATCTGACTGAGCCCGTGAAAAGTCAGGTGCGAGCAATGAACAGGGATCTTGTGATCATACCAGGGGGAATGACAAGCCAGCTACAGGTGTTGGACGTAGTTGTGAACAAGCCTTTCAAGGATAACCTGCGAAAAAAATACACAGAGTGGCTCCTGTCTGGCAACCACGCACTCACACCGACCGGGAAAATACAGAAGCCGTCAGTCCGTCTACTGTGTGAATGGATCCTGCATGCATGGGATGCTATTCCCTCACAGAGCATCATCGATGGCTTTAAAAAATGTTGCATCTCAAATGCATTGGACGGCAGCGAGGACGACGTGCTTTGGGAGGAGCCGGTGGAAGCGGAGCAGCTGGGGAGCGATGACAGCGAGAGCGAACACAGCGGGGCAGAGGACGTGTGTGAGGGATAGAGAGACATCGGAGGAGAAGTTTGGCGAATTTTTGTTAAGTTTAGTTAAATGTGTGGCCTGTATTTTCTCTGTTATTTAAAAATGTTGCTTTATTATTGCTTGATATTAATTTTGAATCATACTGTACATAGTTTGCCTTTGTGTTTAATTTGTCATTTTGGAGTCACTTTTATTGTAAATAAGAATATAATATGTTTCTGAACACTTCTACATTTAATGTGGATGCTACCATGATTACAGATAATCATGAATAATAATGAGTGAGTTAGAGGCACAAAGATCAACCCCTCCCCCCTCCCCCCCTCCCCTGTTATTGGTAATGGTGAGAGGTTAACATTTTTTAGGACGTTTCGGCCTCACTTCTTGGTGCTACACCAGAATTCTCAATGTACTTAACCCACTTGAATGCGTTCAGCTTTTTTTAACGTGTGTGTCTGTCTCACAGATGAGTAGTCCCGAGATCAGCCGGACTCCCCCTCTCCCCGTGCTGGGCTCCATGGCTTCCGCCTCCTCTGTCCAGGACGCCCTCAAGAAGTTGGGGGAGCACGTCAAAACTGAGCCCCAGGACCAGGAGGCCTGCAGCGGGGCCAACGGGCCTAGCAAAGCCCCTAGCACCAGCCCATCCACTAAGGCCTCAGACGCCCCACTGACCAACAGCAAGGGAGCTGCGTCTGCTGCCGTGCGCACTCCACGCACTGCACAGGGGACCAACCAGAGTGGGGCGGGAGGGAAGGATGACGACCCCAATGAGGACTGGTGCGCCGTGTGCAACAACGGGGGAGAGCTGCTTTGCTGTGACCGCTGCCCCAAAGTCTTCCACATCACCTGTCACATCCCTACCTTGAAGTGCTCTCCGAGGTGAGCCCCTGATACATCCACACATGCATGCATACACACAGGCTGGCGTTGACTAGGTGTCAGAATGATAATTAATTTAATTAATATTTCAACATATAAGCCCTTTAACATTGGATGCTGATAGCTTGCCACACATCGGCTATCTTTCTCCCATGTATATGCCTATATATCTAGGTTATTGCTTCACATTTTCTCTCTGGGTTTCCCCCCTCAGTGGAGAGTGGATGTGCACGTTCTGCCGGAGCCTGGCCAGCCCGGAGATGGAGTACCAGCCTGACGACGAGCCTCGTGGCGAGAAGGACAACAGTGAGCAGGGCCTGAGTCCTGAGGACCAGAGGGTCAGTGGAACCATCCACCTGTAATACCTAGAACATGGCATTCCCTGCTTACAGTTGAAAGGACTTTCCCATAGCATTAGTAGTTACTACTGCCACTGTCAATTCAATGCATTTCCCCACTACTTATATCAGTGAATTTCAGTTGACTTTAGATGCCGTCACATTTGAGGAGTAAATCAGTATGAATTAATTTATCACACTTCTCTTAGTAAGGAGTATGTGAATTACGGACAACTTGTATTTAGTAAGCTTGAACTCATGAAGCCTGATGCGCTACTCTTTCATCTTTAAGTGCTGCATTCAGACAGAGGGACACATGCCTCATCTTTCTCTCTCTCCTCTTTCTCTCTCTTACTCAATGTCTCTCGCTCTCTCTCTCTCTCTCTCTCTCTCTCTCTCTCTGTGTGTCCTAGCTGAGGAATGTTAAGCACTTATGTAATGTTCTCCTGCTTAACCACCCCTCTCTCACCCCCTCCCTCTCTATCGCTCTATTTCTTTCTGTCTCTCTCTCTGCAGAGGTGTGAGCGCCTCCTGCTGTATGTTTTCTGCCATGAGCTCAGCGAGGGGTTCCAGGAGCCTGTCCCTCCCTCTGTAAGTATCACAAGCATGTAAAAGGCAATGCCACCTGTATTCTATCTGACCTTGATGGCCACATGTACTCAACACCTCTACAGAGTACAGCCTCTCTAGGTTTTTTCTTTCTAGGGACTTTTTCCTGGGCACTGTGTTCTTGATTCTGCCATTGCTTTCTTTGGGGTCTTGGCCAGATTTCTGTAAAAGCACTTAGTGTGAACTGCTGATTTAAAAAATACATTGTATTTATAAATAAATTAGATTGATTGGTTTATTGATCCTGCCCTATGCCCACAGCACAACTTTACTTCAGCATTGTGGCTATAACCATAATGTTCTGTATAATAAATGAATGATCCAATATGGCTCTCTAACCATGGTGTTCCCACCAGATCCCTAATTACCACAAGATCATCAAGAAGCCCATGGACTTGACCCTGGTAAAACAGAAGCTACAGTTGAAGCATGTCCAGCACTACCAGAGCCCCATAGAGTTTGTCTCGGACGTGCGCCTGGTCTTCAGCAACTGTGCCAAATACAACGAGGTTAGTGGGCATGAATTCCATGCATGATGAGATGGGGCTGAGTGATAGTTTAATGGATGCAGGAGAACACATGCACACTAATCCTGTATGCGGGCAGTGGAAATGCACCATGCAGAATGTTGATATCCTTATCACACCATTTTGCATGAACTTGGGCACCCACAGGGATTAACACTGGATGACCGGATGCAGTTACTGTGTACTCACACTAGACTGTTTGTTTTGAGTGTGGTGTTGCAAAACTAATTTGCCTATGTGCTGATTTTCCAACCTAAATATTTTCATGGCCACTAATGTAATGTCTTCCTGGTCAGTTATTTTGTAAGCAGTGATATCGCCTGCTACCATAAGACTTCTTGATTTGTTTACTTATGAGTTAACAAAACAAGCACATCTATAAAGCATTGACTATTATTGTCATTATTGTCACAATATATTCAAGATTTTTGTCATTCTAAATAACTTGATGCTTTCTTGCAGCCAGATTACCTTTAAAATGCTAATACATTCCGTTTTGTCTGTATTCCTTATAGCTAACCGTTTCTATCAATGATAGATAGTTTGTCCTTGACTTGATAGTTTTTTGGGTGGAGTTTTCCTTTAATATCTTGGGCAAGCTATCTTTTGGTATTTGTTTCATTAGTCCATTGTTGATATAGTCCCAAAATAGAAATACAGCTGGTAAATGCATCATACGGCTGTATTTCTATATTTTGAAAGTTATATCTTGAAAACTTGATTGCTGACATGCAAAACATTTTGGGACTATATCAACAATGGACTAATGAAACAAATACCAAAATATCGTTTTGAGGGTGGAATTTTCCTTTAACGTGTATATTTTCAATACATACTAACCCAAATACTTGGACTTTTCGAATGCAAAAGTTGTCCCGTGTGTGGGATCTTCATTGCATTGGACCTTTTGATATGGTGTCAATTTTTACTTTCTTAATTGAATCTCTCTGGACATGTTTTCGAGTGATGTGTTTAGGGGAAAGATGCTTTACAAGGAATTTGGTGATTTAGATTTTCAATAGTGATTTGAAATGGAAAATACCTTGCATTGAGAGAATCAATGAGGAACTGAGTTGTGGAGGTAACGTTAAAAGGTTTCCTACTGGTTGCAGTTGACGTAGTCAACGGTCCAGCTCAATGTGTTATATATGCTAATTTAAGATTTAAAGGGACACTTACTAGATATCAGTGAAGGGACCGTCAGTGTCAAGGCTAGTAAATCAAGCTAACCAATTTAGCAAGGAGAGAAATTGAAAGACGTAATTCCCAGGAATATGCCAGGATCCACAGCAAGGCCATGGATGCTGTTCAGAATTCTCTCAACAGGCTGAAGCAGCCAGGTAAAGACAGACCGTAGGTAAAGACACTAGACTAGTTGGGAAAAGTAATGGCAAGATTTACCCAAGGTCTGCAACTGCAACCTTCTTAAGTTAGACAGTAAGTGAAACAAAAGTTTATGGAGGGATGACACAAACCACATTTGGACACCAGTTCAATAAGGGGTATATTTTACTTAGGCCGAAGACCTAGGTTAGTGACAGTACACATGGTTGTTACCTATAACCTGTCTGTGCTGTGAAATCCCCCTGCCCTCCCCCCCTTCTGCTTTTTGGTATTTTATTGTACTGTTATCACCCCTTTTTTAGATGTCTCGAATAATCCAGGTTTATGATGAGGAGAAACAGAGTAATGTGCAGGTAAGCTGTTTCTAATACACATGGAGGGGAAAGGTTTGGCTGCCCAACCTGCCACTTGGATTGTTAAAAACGTGGTTTTCCTGTGTTTTATATGTATTTCCACACTGAGGTTAGAATAATATTGTGAAAATTATGATAATGCCTTTTTAGTGTAAGAGCTGTTTGAAAAGACCGCCTGAAATTTCAGCCTGTTTTGGTGGGAAGGAGTTTTGGGGTAAATTTGTTTAGACCAATAAAGAGTTCCAAACCTCTCTGCCAATAACAGCTAGTTCTAGACAGTCCAAGCAAAATTCTTGCTTGAGAAATTGCTCTTTGCTTAAGAAGCTATTTTTTTTCCTTCTTATTTTTTACCATTTTATTTGAAAAAAATCACAGTAAGGTACTTAATTGTTACCCAGAAATGATTTGATATTGAGATAAAACATTTTAAAAAACCAGCTGCATTGGACCTTTTAACCCACTCTAGTGTACTCCATCCCCTCCCCTCCCATTCCTTACCCATTCTTCCCTCCTGTTCAATGATGCCCTCACACCCCACCTTCCTCATACTCTCCCCCTCCTTCCCTCCTGGCAGGCGGACTCGGAGGTGGCACAGGCAGGGAAAGCAGTGAGTTTGTACTTTGAGGAGAGGCTGCTGGAGCTCTACCCAGAGGAGAGTTTTCCCGAGGTACCAGAGGAGCCCGAGGCCCCAGTTGGAGAGGGAGAGGAGGCAGATCTCACAGAAGACTCAGAGGATGAATTTGTGCAACCTAAACGCAAGCGGTTAAAAACAGATGAAAAGATGCTCCACATCAAGTGAGAATCAGTGTTAAAAAAAGGAAAAGAAAAGGTCAAGAAGTGAAAGGATTTTGTCTTCCTTATCTGAAATGCAGGACCTATTGTACACATTTACACGTTTATTTCATCCTTTGCCTCTTTTAGTTATTGTAAAATAGAAATGAAATTAGTCTGTATCTGGCAAACTGGACTTTTTAAAGACATATTGGAATTTCCACTCCTCCATTTCCTCTGGCAATTTATGGATGTTCAAAAAAATGCTTGTACAGATTTTAAGTATGATTTGTTTGCAGTAGTCATTTTTTTTCTATTATCATTTATGATAATATTTGTGAAACATGCTTTATAAAATATCCAAAACTCCCATTTCCTCTAATCTTAAAGTTTGACATGAATTACCTACCAAGTATTTGTATTGTGTTTGAAATATTTTACCGGCTGTAAATAAGAAAAACCAAATGAGGAAAAACCAGTGGCTTGTTTGGTCTTTCATCAATAAATAAAATATGTTCAAATAATTCCTGTCAATGTTGCAAGACTTAATTTCAGGCTCTGAGAAAAAACAGATTGAACAATGTTGTTTCTGTGATCTTTTGCTTTCCATGATCTAAACAGGTCTCTTTTGGGAAAGATTTGTAATCTCATGATCTGAATAAAGGATAAAATGACGTTTTTAAATTAATACCAGGTTGGCAATGGGTTTTTATAATCAATGACTCAAAGACTGGGTCACAATGGTTAATGAAATTGAAACATTTGCAACTCCAGATAATATGGTGCAGGTTTTCAAATGAAGTTACCAAACCTCAAATGAGGTTACGCAAATTGACTTCTCTTTTTACTTCTCTATTTTACATGAGTCAAAATGTGCCGCAATGAAGGACAAACCCGAGTCATCCCGACCCCTCCATCTCTCACATACCCAAGTACATAGGCTACCCAACCCTGAGAGACAATCTGCACTAAAAGGGGTTAATTCGTTTCTGTAAGTACATCACCCTTAGACAAAGTAGATAGGAAATGGCATTTCTAAATATCAATCCAATCAATCAACTAAAAGTACTGTATTGTCAAAGGTGTGAACGTTTTAATGGAACAGTCATTTTGTGACATCTCATTTAAAATCAGAGTCCGGGGCCTCCCGAGTGGCGCAGCGGTCAGACCCGGGTTAATTCCCGCGCTGTGCCACAACCGGCCATGGCCGGGAGTCCCATAGGACGGCGCACAATTGGCCCAGCGTCGTCCGGGTTAGGGGAGGGTTTGGCCGGGGGTGATTTACTTGGCTCATCGCGCCCTAGTGACTCCTTGTGGCGGGCCGGGTGCCTGCAGGCTGATACCCGTCGCCAGTGCAACGGTGTTTCGGTGTTTTTTTTTTTTTTCCCCACCTTTATTTAACCAGGTAAGCCAGTTGAGAACAGGTTCTCATTTACAACTGCGACCTGGCCAAGATAAAGAAAAGCAGTGCAATAAAAACAACACATTGGTGCGGCTGGCTTCCGTGTTAAGGAGCGCGGTTAGTCGGGTCATGTTTCGGAGGACGCGTGACCACCTTCGCTTCTCCCGAGCCGGTTGGGGAGTTGCAGCGATGAGAAAAGATCGTCAGATGCATGTCTGTGACAGAGTTGAACCCAGACCAAAATAGTACCTAGGGAAGGTATTTGGTGGAATAAACTGTGACATGAGATCAGAGCAGAGAGGAAGAGGCGAAGCGAGAGGGTTTGCTCCCGTCAAAATATGTCCCCGATAAGCAGATCGCCTGCCTTTCCCGCCTTTGGTACAACAACTCCCATTGTTAGGGAGGAGACAAGACCATCTCGTCATTATATACAGTTTCTCTGGATCAGCGTAGTTTTGTGCTGAGTCGTCAGTCAGGTGAGCAGTGTCAGCTGACAAATATGTTTCGATCGAAGACTCCCGCGAGCTGAGGACAAGAAGAGTTTTTTTTTTTTTTTTAGAGCTTGTGTGTTGAGGTAAGCCATACTGTTACGTCTTCATTGTCATTAGAATACTTTAGGGATAAATGCATAATTGGCTACCTGGCGAGTCATTTGCGCGCGATCGGTAGAATAGCTGGAAAATGCCATGTTTCAGGCAGAAATATGCGGCCGCTGCGAACATCAGATGTACATGATACGGTCTTAATTTTCACAGCTTTATGAAAAAATGCAAACGCCTGTAGATCTTCGAAGACTGTGGGGCCGTGATGGGGAGGGAGGCTGGCTGCGCACTAATGGCAGAATTACCACGCAGATGGATGAGGCCAACTAACGAGGGCTGTTGATATGTGATGCGAACATGTGAAATTTGGACACAGGTTGCCGCTGTTCTGTAAATTACAGGAACTTGAGGACAATATTCATCATGCCTGTATTTCAAGGTACAACCTAAATTCCAGAAACGTGCCCCACAAACGCAGTTAACTAGTTCGAGATTATTATTTTGTGCTGTGACTTGGACATTTTAAAATGCAGTTGATTTGTTTTTGACGGGAGGTAAACTACAGACAGAATTTCTACATTGTACACACAAAATTAAGAATTAGAATAGGTAAATGTAATAGGATCTCTATGGTCGTAGGTAAATCGGTCGTGTAACTCCGCCTTTTCTCTGACGTTGGAGATCATCTTCCAATCAGTTCAGTTTGAGCTAAATTGTTGACAAGCTACTGTATGTTTTCTCCCAAACCTATGCAAGCCAGTCAGCAAACAGACGTCTGAAAAGGGCATCGTTGTTCCTCCCTGGACACACTTCAATAACCGACCGAGAATCAGGTAAGATACATTTTTTTTTAATGTTGGACCACCACCTTTGTCCTAGAAGACGTTTGAAGCAGAGCCAGCTGTGAAAAGTCAGCTGGCTAACAAGCAAACAAAAGTTGTCAGCGAGCAACTTGTTTGTGCCCAACTCGAAAGTCTTTATCAGTACAAACCGATTTCACTCTGAATTCCATAGCAGATAGTACATTTTGAGACTGAGCTATGAACAACTTTTGCAAATATAAAGAATAAGCGGTAGCTTGCTGTTTATTTAGCTAGCTACATTGTCTAGCTTGTTCGTTTAACGCTTTCCTCTCTGCTTAACATGAGCCTGAATATGGGGTCAGCTGATGGTGTCCTCATGCGGGGGTCCTTTGGATGGAACACTGATGGAAACTTCAGCTCTGTGTGCCCCAATGGGTCGGTATGGGTTTGGGAAGGGCTGGGGGAATGTGCCCAGGATGCCAGGGACATGGCCAGTGTCATCCTGGGTCTGCTGTCTATAGTGTGCTTCATGGTTTCTTCTCTGCCGTAAGTCTTGATTGGGAATACATTATTTCAGGCCATTTCCGATGTAAGGACAACACCTTTACTCTTCCTATTTTGTTGTGTTCATGAATACAGGCAGTACTACAGCTCTTGTAAGAGTGGGAATATGGACAGCGCCTTGTCCATTTGGTTTCTGTTACTGTGGCTGGGGGGCGACTCCTGCAATCTTGTAGGCTCATTCTTAGCTGACCAACTGCCGCTACAGGTAAGTGACAGCTATCTGGGTCAGTCAATATTACTGAAATGGTTTGAATAACAATAGAAACGTTTGTCTGTCAAGCATGAAAATAGGGGGATAAACTGAAATTGTCAACTCCAAGATACTAATGAAAAGATAACGACATTTTAATGTTACAAAAAAGTGTAATGATATGCATTTAAACAAGTATTCCCCTTGTCCACCGCACTGACATGTCTCTCTCCCCCTTCTCATACAGGCATACACAGCAGTGTATTATGTCCTGGCTGACTTATTGATGCTGGGATTGTACTTTTACTACGTAGCTAAGCACAAGATGAATAACAGTGAGTTTGTGTTTTTGTCTGTTAATGTATTTGATCTCTGTTCCAAATTAGCTGCTGTGAGATTTGTCTTCTCAATAATAAATCAAGGCCATTGGTCAGTGCACATTCCACACATTTACTATTAATTGAGGCCTCTGTGTGTTACACCGGGACCACAGTTTGTAATATACAGTATAACGCATGACAGAACAGGGTATGGCTTGTCCATGTTGTCCTATGTTCTGCCCATTCAGCAAATGTTCATTCCAAGACGCCTTCGTAAAAATGGCTCATTATGCCATAGAACACACTGCAAGGTTGTGTTTTATACATACAACTGTATACAGTTGTTATTTAACAGTTCAATGAACCTGACGGGTGTCAGATTAGACTGCTGTAGCCTATACACAGAGGGTCCCCAGGATTAGTTTTGAGAAACAGACATTCATTACACAGGAGGAAGAATCATACAAAACTAGTGTGATGTCAGCAATACTACTAGTGATGTCAGCAATACCTTGCATCACCACCACATTTTGTTCTTTCGTTCCTAATTGTTGTCGCAGCCATTGACACCATGACCCTTGGTTGGATGAATTTGCTGAGGTGGCGTCTACCAATATTGACGACTAATATCTTTATTTTTCCTTTACCCAGACAGGTCGGTTCTAAATGTAGTTGGTGTGGTCTATGTACTGGGCTTCTCTGCCAGCCTCGTTGCCTTACCTGGGTCAGGGTCCCAACAGGATGTGGTCCTCTCTGGGTTCAAGGGGCGGGCCTTGCTGTCAACCACTGTGGACGGTGTTAAGGTGAAATATGGGCTGGATGTTAATGTAATTGATTTGTTGATTTTATTCTGGCCTCTGGCCAACGTTTTATCTCTCTGAGTGACATGCAGACGCTTTGTCTTTGTGTGTCCAGGCTTTCAGCACCAAGGAGATCATTGGGTTTACCATTGGCTCCATATCCTCAGTGCTCTACCTCTGCTCCAGACTGCCACAGATGCACACTAATGTGAGTCTGAAAAGGGGGAGTGGGGAGGGGTTGTTAAGGGAGTGAACGAGTACTGGGTGGACAGATCATTTTAAAGTGGATGCGAAAACCTCCCTGTAAAAGTGTTGCATGGATCTTTTTCTTTCTCCTTATATTTAAAATGTTTCTTTCTCTGGTAGTACACAAGGAAGTCGACGGAGGGTGTGTCCTACTTCCTGTTTGCCCTGGTCATCCTGGGTAACACTACGTACGGCCTGAGCGTGCTGCTGAAGAACCCTGAGCAGGGCCAGGGAGAGGGAAGCTACGTCATCCACCACCTGCCCTGGCTCATAGGCAGCCTGGGCACCCTCTCTCTAGACGTCCTGGTATCCTTCTCATTATGAAAAATGTATGCACTCACTGACTGTAAGTCGCTCTGGATAAGAGCGTCTGCTAAATGACTAAAATGTAAATTACAATGCCTACTGGGCCTCAGGCCTCCCCAACAACACGTTTACTTGTAACATTTAGTGTGCTTTGACTTAACACTTAGCTTCTGCTTTTGACTTTGTATTACAATGACCCTAATGAACTTACCTAAATGCAACAGGTTCAGGTTGGTTTTTGACTAGTATTATCTAAGTACATTATCCTATATGCCAGCCTGCAGTTGTTGGAATGTGTTTCCTTTATAGTATCTAAAAGTTTGACCAGTTAAAAAAAAAAAAAAAAAACTTCATGAATTCCCTTGACTCGCTGCTTCAGATCTCCATACAGTTCCTGATATACCGCAATAACGCCCCTCTAGAGTTGGAATCGCAGCACGATGAGAGAGCTGCTCTGCTGGACAAATGAAACTGCTCCTTGGGTGCTGGATCTACAGTAGCAGTTCAGACACTTATCCCCACCCAATGGACTCTCATTCACATTCCTAAACACTAAATCATAACTTTTTGACACACAGGAAATCCCTTTCTTTTGACTATCGTTTTATTTATATGATCTGTGTTTTAGTGTTTTGAGAAAGATGCCACTGTTAATTGGGATGCAGCTGTAGTTTACTTTAATGAACTGTTCTTAATTCCTCTTAATCTTTAAGTGCTGGACCTTCCAACCGTTTGTCTAAATACTTATAGTATTTCAAATTTGTAACAAACCCGTCCTGACAATCATGACACTACTACTGGTCACTACGTGAAACCCTCTCATTGTCATATTAGAATAGTCTTGTTATTGTATTTCAGAAGTGATTGACTATAAATATTTTTTGCAGATCACTTCATGTCTTTTGAGTATAGAGACATGAATCTTAGTGTCTTGACATGTTCATGTGGATTTATTGTAACTTTTAATTAGTGTAAATGTCTGAAGTACTGTACTTAATTTATTTTATTGTTTACATAAATTGCCGTTAAGCATTTTGCATATGTGTACATTTGAGATTTATGTACTTTTTTGGGGGGTATGTCTTCAGATCTGGAGACTTGACCTCATGTTTGTTCAGTGTAAGCACACAGCAATGATGCTCCTGTTTCTTTTTTCTTAGTCTGTTCCCTAAACAAAAATGGTGTTACATCAGTCTACTGATATGCACAGGAAGGATTTAATGTTTTATCACATTGATAGTGTCTCATTCCCCACTTACTGCTACATTTAGGCAATAAAAACAAAAAATTGTTAGAAATGAGTTGCGGGAATGTGTTTCTCATTTTGATAAATGTTTGTTCTGTTTCACTAATACGCTCAATAGGACACATCATGCTTTTAAACAAACTGAATTTGTATGGAGCCCTGATGTCATTTGGGCAGTGTACCTGATCTTTAGTGTGTTAAATACGCTGGCAACGTGATTTCATTTTCCACCTTACTTCCATATCCAGCCCATACTGTTTTTGACTGGACTTCAAGATTATATAATAAAATAATGAAAAGTCCTTTGGAAATTATTCAGACCCCTTCACTTTTTCCACATTTTGTTAGGTTACAGCCTTAGTCTAAAATTGATTAAATAAAATTTCCTCAATCTACACACTACCCTATAATAACAAAGCAAAAACTGTTTTTTCTGAATTTTTGCTAATTTATTTAAAATAAACTGATCACATTTACATAGTATTCAGACCCTTTACTCAGTACTTTGTTGAAGCACCTTTGGCAGTGATTACAGCCTCGAGTCTTCTTGGGTATGATGCTACAAGCTTGGCACACCTGTATTTGGGGAGTTTCTCCCATTCTTCTCTGCAGATCCTCTCAAGCGCTGTCAAGTTGGATGGGGAGCGATGCTGCACAGCTGTTTTCAGGTCTCTCCAGAGATGTTTGATCGGGTTCAAGACCGGGCTCTGACTGGGCCACTCAAGGACATTCAGAGACTTGTCCCAAAGCCACTCCTGCATTGTCTTGGCTGTGTGCTTAGGGTCGTTGTCCTGTTGGAAGGTGAACCTTCGTCCCAGTCTGAGATCCTGAGTGCTCTGTTTATCTTTGCCTCGATCCTGACTAGTCTCCCAGTCCCTGCCGCTGAAAAACATCCCCACAGCATGATGCTGCCACCATGCTTCACCGTAGGGATGGTGCCAGGTTTCCTCCAGAGTTGACACTTGGCATTCAGGCCAAAGAGTTCAATCCTGGTTTCATCAGACCAGAGAATCTTGTTTCTCATGGTCTGAGAGTCTTTAGGTGCCTTTTGGCAAAATCCAAGCGGGCTGTCATGTGCCTTTTACTGAGGAGTGGCTTCCGTCTGGCCACTCTACCATAAAGGCCTGATTGGTGGAGTGCTGCAGAGATGGTTGTCCTTCTGGAAGGTTCTCCCATATCCACAGAGTAACTCTAGAGCTCTGTCACAGTGACCATCGGGTTATTGGTCACCTCTCTGACCAAGGCCCTTCTCCCCCGATTGCTTAGTTTGGCCGGGCAGCCAGCTCTAGGAAGAGTTTTGGTGGTTCCAAACTTCTTCCATTTAAGAATGATGGAGGTCACTGTGTTCTTGGGGACCTTCAATGCTGCAGAAATGTTTTGGTATCCTTCCCCAGATCTGTGCCTCGACACAATCTTGTCTCGGAGCTCTACGGACAATTCCTTCGACCTCATGGCTTGGTTTTTGATCTGACATGCACTGTCAACTGTGGGACCTTATATAGATCGGTGTTTGCCTTTCCAGATCATGTCCAATCAATTGAATTTAACACAGGTGGACTCCAATCAAGTTGTAGAAAGATCTCAAGGATGATCAATGGAAACAGGATGCACCTGAGCTCAATTTTGAGTCTCATAGCAAAGGGTCGGGATACCTATGTAAATAAGGTGTTTCTGTTTTTTATTTGTAATACATTTGCGAAAATTTCTAAAAACCTGTTTTCACTTTGTCTTTATGGGGTATTGTGTGTAGATTGATGACACATTTTATTTATTTAATCAATTTTAGAAGAAGGCTAACTTAACAAAATGTGGAAAAAGTCAAGGGGTCCGAGTACTTTCTGAATGTACTGTATAGAGTTGGGCCAATGCGGTTTCTGTCTGAATGTTCAGAGAGCGTTGCTAAGTGATAATTAACACTTCTGCGTTGTACTGTTTATTTCTGATAGTTTTCAAAAACTATGAAGGTGTCCATTGAAAGCATATATGCAATTTGTTGACACCACAACACAGTAGAGACTTGGATACACATTATCCCGAATGCTAATCAATAAAAATGTCTGTTAAATTCGCTGCTCTGTTTTGCTTGTTTACAGCAAGTCATTTCATAGGGAACTGTCGGAGGTGCTCTCATATTGTTACATCACCAACATTTAGAGAATAAACGCACCAACATGGTCGACCTCTCTCTCTATATATGGCTCTGGTATTATGTATTTCACCATATTTATCCAACTGTAACCTTGACTTTATCCCATGTACACTACCAGTCAAAAGTTTTAGAACCCCTACTCATTCAAGGGTTTTTCTTTATTTTTTACTATTTTCTACATTGTAGAATAATAGTGAATATATCAAAACTATGAAATAACACATGGAATCATGAAGTAACCCAAAAAGTGTTAAACAAATCAAAATATATTTTATATTTGAGATTCTTCAAATAGTCACCCTTTGCCTTGATGACAGCTTTGCACACTTGGCATTCTCTCAACCAGCTTCATGAGTTGGTAACCTGGAATGCATTTTGATTAACAGGTGTGCCTTGTTAAAAGTTAATTTGTGGAATTTCTTTCCTTCTTAATGCGTTTGAGCCAATCAGTTGTGTTGTGACAAGGTAGGGGGGTATACAGAAGATAGCCCTATTTGGTAAAAGACCAAGTCCATATTATGGCAAGAACAGATCAAATAAGCAAAGAGAAATGACAGTCCATCATTACTTTAAGACATGAAGATCAGTCAATACAGAACATTTCAAGAACTTTGAAAGTTTCTTCAAGTGCAGTTGCAAAAACCATCAAGCACTATGATGAAACTGGCTCTCATGAGGACCGCCACAGGAATGGAAGACCCAGAGTTACCTCTGCTGCAGAGGATAAGTTCATTAGAGTTACCAGCCTCAGAAATTGCAGCCCAAATAAATGCTTCACAGAGTTCAAGTAACAGACACATTTCAACATCAACTGTTCAGAGGAGACTGTGTGAATCAGGCCGTTATGGTCGAATTGCTGCAAAGAAACCACTACTAAAGGACAATACGAAGAAGAGACTTGCTTGAGCCAAGAAACACGAGCAATGGACATTAGACTGGTGGAAATATGTCCTTTGGTCTGGAGTCCAAATTTGAGATTTTTGGTTCAAACCGCTGTGTCTTTGTGGGACGCAGTGTGGGTGAACGGATGATCTCTGCATGTGTATTTCCCACCGTAAAGCATGGAGGAGGAGGTGTTATGGTGTGGGGGTGCTTTGCTGGTGACACTGTCTGTGATTTACTGTCTGTGATTTATTTACACTTAACCAGTATGGCTACCACAGCATTCTGCAGCGATACGCCATCCCATCTGGTTTGGGCTTAGTGGGACTATCATTTGTTTTTCAACAGGACAATGACCCAACACACCTCCAGGCTGTATAAGGGCTATTTTACCAAGAAGGAGAGTGATGGAGTTCTGCATCAGATGACCAGGCCTCCACAATCACCCGACCTCAACCAAATTGAGATGGTTTGGGATGGGTCGGACCGCAGAGTGACGGAAAAGCAGCCAACAAGTGCTCAGCATATGTCGGAACTCATTGGACTGTTGGAAAAGCATTCCAGGTTAAGCTGGTTGAGAGAATGCCAAGAGTGTGCAAAGCTGTCATCAAGGCAAAGGGTGGTTATTTGAAGAATCTCAAATATAAAATATATTTTAATTTGTTTAACACTTTTTTGGTTACTACATGATTCCATATGTGTTATTTCATAGTTTTGAGGTCTTCACTATTATTTTACAATGTAGAAAATAGTAAAAATAATGAAAAACCCTTGAATGAGTAAGTGTTCTAAAACCTTTGACCGGTAGTGTACACTCAACCTTAATTTATCATGTCACGTGCAGGTCAAGCCCTAGTCCTGACCTCTGACCTTTCCACTCCACTATCTGGTAGACCCTGAGGGTGCCTGGTAGACCTGGCGCTAATGTTTGTGGAATACACAGCTTTGTTGTTTCTCTTCATTAGTGGAGTTAGTCTTATACTGTCCTGTTAGTGAAGAAAACGAGCGATGGGATTCGGACCCCGGGAACCCTCCTCTCACTCACTCACACGCACACACACACATTATCCCTCAGACACACACACACACACACTCGTTTTCCCTCTCACACGCATACACACACATATAAGTGACATTGAGGGCCCACCCAGCGAGGAAGGAAAGGTCAGAACAAAACTATCACGATGGGTTCAATGAAGAAATGAACTGTGTGGGGGCCTGATCTCATACAGTGACAGTGAGGGAGAAGGAGTATGTGTGCGTGTAGTCGTCGTCGGTTGTGAAACTGAGGTTGTGCTCCTAGGCAGTCCCAGGGCTTCTTACGGAGGGCAGCAGGAAAAGCCAGCGATAGCGGGCCATCATCCATCACCAGGAGGAACAAGAAGCTGTTTATAAACACACAATGCTGGGAATGTCTTAATGAGCCTGCTCTCTCTCACTGCAGGGCCAGGGCCCACACCATCACATCCACATTCCCCTCCGTTCTTCATTGTGGTGCTCCACATACTTCATATACACTACCGTTCAAAAGTTTGGGGTCACTTAGAAATGTCCTTGTTTTCCATGAAAACATACATGAAATGAGTTTGAATAGGAAATATAGCAAAATGAATAGGAAATGTAGTCATTGACAAGGTTAGAAATAATGATTTTTATTTGAAATAATAATTGTGTCCTTCAAACTTTGCTTTCGTCAAAGAATTCTCCATGGGCAGCAATTACAGCCTTGCAGACCTTTGGCATTCTAGTTGTCAATTTGTTGATGTAATCTGAAGAGATTTCACCCCATGCTTCCTGAAGCACCTCCCACAAGTTGGATTGGCTTGATGGGCATTTCTTACGTACCATATGGTCAAGCTGCTCCCACAACAGCTCAATAGAATACCAGCTGACTGCTTCTTCCCTAAATAGTTATTGCATAGTTTGGAGCTGTGCTTTGGGTCATTGTCCTGTTGTAGGAGGAAATTGGCTCCAATCAAGCGCCGTCCACAGGGTATGGCATGGCGTTCCAAAATGGAGTGATAGCCTTCCTTCTTCAAGATCCCTTTTACCCTGTACAAATCTCCCACTTTACCACCACCAAAGCACCCCCAGACCATCACATTGCCTCCACCATGCTTGACAGGTGGCATTAAGCACTCCTCCAGCATCTTTTCATTTGGTCTGCGTCTCACAAATGTTATTTTTTGTGATCCGAACACCTCAAACTTCGATTCGTCTGTCCATAACACCTTTTTCCAATCTTCCTCTGTCCAGTGTCTGTGTTCTTTTGCCAATCTAATATTTTCTTTTTATTGGCCAGTCTGAGATA